TTTGCAAGTCTTCCAGATCCGTAATGACTCCCGTAGTGGCGGGACTATTGGACCCATGACCAGTTCTCGTATTGGCATGAGGGCCATTGATGTAGGGATCCCGCAACTGAGTATGCACAGTATCCGTGCGACTACCGGTAGCTTGGATCCGGGACTGGGCGTGAAGCTGTTCAAGGGCTTCTTCGACTATTTCGAGGAGGTGGACAAGGAATTCGCAGATTTCTGATGCTCTCTTATGGGAAACTTAGGGAAAGTTTCCATGGATATTTATGCCCCATCTGGAATATCGACGTGGGATCTGTAATATCTAGATCTATATATACATTTGATAGAGTTGTTCAGTTTCCAATTCAATTGTCTCAGGATACTCATGTACTTTTTTTTGTTTTTACTCACATCGAATAACTCTCTGCGCAATTCATCGTGCATTCAAGACATATTTGTTATGTTGCTCCGTAATCTATTAGTGATTTGGTAAGGTTGTATATATACAAAAAGAACGATATAGAGCAACACACGGCCAAGAATAGACTCAATAGAGTATAAAAAGAGCAAGCGATTTCAAAACGCCTGCGAGAAGAAAGAAGAATCGCAGGAGAAAAAAAAAACGCACAAACGAATGGGATATCTCTATAAAATAGCCTCCTTCTCGCGTTGAGAACAAGTCCCACAATCTCGCCAGGGCTCTTCCACGAAAGCCCCCCATCATCGTGAAATCGCCGATCCTACCGCGGTCTGCACCCTTTCAGGATCATCTTCCATACTCTTCGTTTCCTTCAGCACGAACTTCTCCTTGCTGTGAATGTCTGTTGGAGGGACATGTGTCAGAGCCCTCTCTGAGTCGGCGCAGTGGCTCCCGAACTCGAGATCATCCATCGCCGTGATGGTGGTCGAGACGGTTCCTGTCCCTGCTCCGCCGCCCCAGTATGTCGGGGGTCGTCCGTGCGAGAATCGCCTGGGACCGTAGCTCCGGCGGTAGCTTTGGTTCCGGCTGCTTAGGGTCGATAAGAGATGGGGCACGATGCGGGATACGAGAGGTCGCAGGGTGGGGAGGCAGGCGCAGATGATTCCTACGTTGCATTCGATGGCGGACCAGGAGGCGGCGCCGACGTTGTCAACTGGTATTTTTCGTTAGAAACTTTATGCCCTTTCTTTGGGTTGCATGTATCTGGTCAGTGGGAGGGAGACGTACAGGTTGGATCTGTGGAATCGGCGATCTTTTTAAGGGCGACCAGACGACAGATACTGGTGATGCATACGCTAGGACAGCGGTTAGATATAAATTGCCGATAAGGTGGAAGATAGCTGGGCTTACAATCCGCCTAGTGCAAAAACGGTGATCAATGCAATCTTCTGTCTCTTGGGGAGATCTAGTTTCGCTAGAGCCGGGATAGGGATGATCAGAATAACAAGGTCGGTGGTGATATGCATCGAGGCATTCGAGAACCACAGCCCTTTGTCATCCAAGCAGTACCCTTCAAGTGTCTTGTCCCAGAATTTAGCCACGGGGATGCAATTGAGAAAGCCACTCAGAACTGCCCAGGATCCGTAGACGCCGAGTATGGCTAACATGACCCAGGTGATGAGACGCATGCGTCGAGTAGGGAAGACGCGGAAGTACTGCAGAAGTATCGAGGCTTTGGCGCATAGAAGTGCGGCATTGTAGAATGGAATAGTAATCCAGAATGCCTGGACAGAGGTAAGTCATGTCAGTCTTGGTGTACTGCAGCTGCTGGAAGCTGCAATTATTTCTATACTCACTTTCATCTGCTTAAGGAGGATGGGTGGTGGGATATCAGCGCCATGCATACCCATTCCGTTCAATGCTTCTATGATATAAAAGGCCATGAAAACATAGGAGAATGTCTGGACCGCCACGTTAGTGCTGATGAACTCTGTGTGTGTGTGTGTGTGTGTGTGTGTGTTAGCCAGTGATAACTTACCAGAGCGAGCATGACCATATAATCGTTCGACTCCATGCGCTTCATTATGCCAGCACGCGTGTAGACTCGGGCAAAAACGAAGATGGTCGCTAGGCTGGTGAATGCAATGCTGATTGCCATTCCACTCTTGCCTCCAGAGGAAAGATATGACTGATCGTCACCCCGCGGGTGCATGATGTGTTGGATACTGGTACTCATTGCAGCAACCCACAAAAGAACAGATCTTTACAGCTTCGCCTCTGCAGGAGAAAAAATAAATAAAAGCCCCGTCAGGATTAGAATCTCAATATATGTCTCGAAGGTTAGCAGTTCGTGTGACAACCGAAGTCACTCAACCATAGCACAGGCCGCAATGGCCCTCATGTACGCCGTAGCACTCAGTGGTACATTCAAGAGGGAACAGCCCATGGGCAGCTGGCTGAGGAATGGGTCGAACTATAAACGTCACTCAAAACCCAGAAACGGCCAGTATTCATGAGGGATAGACCCAGATAAAGCATCTCGTCCACGGAGATCCTCCTTGTCTCATTTGCTTCTCCAGGTTTGCGGGTCTGACGCTAAGGCAGTGACAGGGACTAGGGCTAAAGTCTCATGAGGACAAAGGGGAGATAGGAAAGCAAGTAAGGGAGAGATCGAATAAGCTAATCATTAGGAAGAAGTTACTGTCGTAGCCTTTGACATTAGCACGTCGATAGATAGAGTTTTCTTTTTCTTTTTCTTTTTCTTTTTTTTGTTTTTTGCTTTTCATGGCTTGAAGCCTTGACCTGGGTTATGGAGCCAAGGAGGGCCCCTGCGGCATAAGGATAGCGGCGAGTTCCAGCCCTTTGGACTCGACCCGATTATGGGTTCAACTGATCGACAGTGACAGGAGCAACTAGCCCTGGAAATAACCCGGTCCAGTCATAAAGGGTGTGGGTAATGGATCAGCGACGTATCTAAACCTTCCAGAACTGTTCAACGCTGTGCGTATGTAGTGACAGTCATGATTTGCACAGAAAGAGGTACTTTGTACTCGAGCTTAACCTACGCACCAGCAATAAAGGCAGTCACAGCTGTATGTATGACAGTTTCTATCGTGATGTATACAACGAGCTCCGCTCAGGTCTGAAGGTAACACGATCGTGGCGACGAACAGGATTCATGCCCTAGGGGGCTGCATCTGGAACTGTCAGGGATAATCTCCTCCCGGCCCCAAGCACTAAGCAGACTACAGTGTGTGTTTTATTTTATTTTATTTCTTACTTTTTCTGTTTCTTTTTAATTTTACTCTTTTCTTTTCGGGCTAGTTCTTACCAAGCTTCACACGCTCTAATTGAGACAGGATCTTCCCTGACATCATTGTTCCTCTCTCCCTGAAAAGGGAGTATCCGGTCAGGGTGAGGCTATACTTGGTAGGGTCTTCGAGCAAGGGATGCATGTAAACCTTTCTTGCTCCCCCCTGGACCCAGGAGAGCTTTACGGTTCTTATTATACTTTCTCTCTTTTTGAGAAGTCCCGGTGAGAAAGACAACATCTGAAAGGAACTCAGCCGGGTCAGTTCGGGAGAATATGATAAGTCTAATTCCCTCTTAAAGTAGCTTCTGAAAGGAACGGGTTTCCGCGAGTGACATCGCCACATTGAATAACGCACATGCAGGGGGGTGTAAAGTACCATACAGCTGGATCTTAACTTCCATATGCAGATGCACGGATAGTCAGAATTAGTCGCCATGCGATTATCATGTCGTTGGTACGATGGGGACGGTGGTGGCCCGTGGGTGTGGAGTGTGCGTCAATGGAGTTGATACCTCACAAATTCTCCCCACACCAGAATACTAAAACGAAGAGTTTTCACAATAATATCGTTTCATAATGGGAATTATTCTCAATTATCGAGTGTAGGGTTTGCTGTCTTTCATCTCTCGCTTTCATGGACGTGGTTGCGTACTATTGTCCCTAAAAACTTGGCTTGCAACTTCGGGCACAACAGTTCAAGTCCAAAATTGATAGCGTCAACTCTACTGCGCTTGAAGACCCCTATGATTGGAGGCTTCAAGCGAGGCTCCTCGTCTCTCTCAAGGTAAGCGTTGGGCTCGTTGAACTTAACGTCGAGGTACGTTGACATTGACGATCTAGATTTGCTTTATTAGAACCTCAGCGTGGTTTTACTCGTGGCACCGAGAATAATGGACTACTACTAGTATGCTTAAAATTGTACTAGAGATTTTGACAGTTCCCAGTGAAGTAACAGCCAATTACAACCATTAGCAGCGCCATCGATAGCTGGGATACTATTACGTACCTCTCATTATACCATTTCTAGTAGCACATGTGGGATGTTTGCCCTAATGGATATGGATTGGCTTGACAGTACCGACAAAGCCACAAAATCCCATGTAGGTTCCTGGCACATCCTAGTTCGTATGAAATATAAAGAAATTGGGTAATCCAGTGGAGTTAATATGTCACATAATTCCATCTGCAGGAGTCTGTGCGAGACTGTAAGAGGCACCCGGTTGCCTGGATTAGCTATTTATATATCCACTGGTCAATTGCAGGTGATATTGTAATTAATCTTTTTTTTTCCCTTAATAATTATTGGATCATTAATCTAAGTCAAACCAAGCAATTCTTAGCCAGGTCACTGAAGAAGCTGCATGTTGACATAATCGTATTCTTCTCTTCCTTTCTGTGTCGCGTCCCTCCTTCAGGTTCCCTGAACACCAATCCAGTCGCGTTCACCATGAGCATCATAGCACCCACCACCCATTTATGACATATTCCAACCCTTCAGGAGGCTCACTCTTCTTCAGTACTGTCGAATTGCATATAGCTATCTTCCTTATTCTGTTTGGGATATTCTTTCTGCCGGGCTACGGAAAGTACTACCGTACCTTCGTAGGCCATGCATGACCAATGGCACTAGTAGTGCAGCGACATGGATGTATATTCATGTACGACCAAGTAGGCAGGATGCAGTACCACCTGTGGCCTGACTCTGGAGACCTTCTTATCGGTTGGTCCTTGGTAATTTCTTTTCTTGTCCTCTCCTCTCTCCCATTTTCTCTACCATAGGTAGGAACCCATGCAAGTGTGGTGACATAGGGTATCCACGAGCCACGCCAATATATGCTGAAGAAAGAGTTGATGGGGGCTCAGGTGGCACGGCTTGCCATACGGTATGTATTGCCTCCTGGCAATTCGGATTACGCTCTACTTACCGAAGGGCACGATCTTCCAATGCGTACCATCACTTGCCGAAGGATTGAGAGACACTTCCGCCGTTCGGCTCATGGTCTCCTCCCGGTATCGTTCTGTGGGATTTTTACTGCATCGAAGCAGAATGTATGGATTCTATTGATTGCTTATCCCGTAGGGCCATATATCTGGATCGTCAGAGCCTCAAATGGCTTTTTAATTGACTTTTATCTCCTTTAGATCATTCAGCATCCGGATTGCAGATATGTATCTACATACTTCTGTTGCAGTACAGGAGGGCCAAGGGGAGCAGTTCTGTGCTGGTCTGATTTGATGTAGGCCCTGTTTCGTCCTGAAATTCTACCAATAACGAGGCAAGCGATTGTATTTCATGATTCCATTACCTGGATGTATTGTATGGCATGATCCGACTCTGCTTGATGGGCCAAGCCTTCTATACCCAATTCACTGGACGAGAACGTGGTTGATTGCTTCCCAAGAGAAAGAGAGAGAAGGGAGGTGGGGGGAAAAAAAAGAAAAAAAAACCTTTTGTTGCCCTGTCGGCTGGACTCGCTACGTCCTGCCTAGTTTTTTGTTCTTTTTATTTTTATTTAATTTTAATTTTAATTTAATTTTAATTTTGAAAAAAGTTATCTTCCGCATGCAGATTGAGGCATTATCTAGATTGTTTGTTACTGGCGCGCTATAGAGAAGGTTACATATAGTCGACGCCAATTACGAGGATCAACGCCTCCCTCCATAGCAGTTGAACCCTAGTCGAACCGGTGACCCGAGTACGTTAGTTAGTGTTTGCCATCTTTCGTACATACATAGTTACATTCCGAGGTTGGATCTATAACTCCTCTTGAGTCCTGGGGATACACAATGGCAACTTTATCGAAACCGGATAGAGATTCTTTTCTACCTGTCAATTTTTCCCCGTCATCACTGATCGATTGCATGTTTGCATGAATACTCGTCGAGCCATGGACTGGATTTTACCTAACGACCAGCTCAGCCATGATCCGATCGATCCACCGAACGGTCCAGATCAAGGGTCAGCCAGAACAAAGATCCCCCTCGTACTTTTTCTTTGTTGACGGCCGATCACCTCCCATCAGGTTCACGCTACCTTCATATACCTGGTGATCTTTAAGGCGAGCCTAACGGTTGCGCCGATAGATTTGGATCTGAGTTTAGCTACTCGGAGCCTGTACCAGACCGAGTAGTAGTAGTAATAGTCTCCTGAGGTTGCTTTCATGCAATGGGCTTTCTTTGTTGTGCGCATCGTGAAGTCGTGACTGCTTCCCCCGTGACATGTCAAGTTTATGGCAGTACAGTGACAAATGATCCATGTCTCAAACTTGCATGATGCATTATCTCCGAAGGAGGATGTTTCTGCAGAGATTTGTACGAGTTCATCTTTCTCTAGTTTTCTTTATTTGTAATTCTTTTGAAACCTTTTTGTCTGTATCTGGGGACAGCAGATGTGCATGTACTTCGTAAATCCATTGAGCTGTACGGGATCATTGTTTTGGTAAATTTCATACTGCGCAGTACTACTACTACTACTACTACTACCAAGTCCTGTTGTTGTTTGGTACCGTACTGTACTGGAATTGGTGGATCCAATGATGTCGGCCGTTGATAAAACCCGCGCTAAGATAAGGATAGCGCACAGACCAGCTAAAATTCCAGCGAAATCAAACCAATTCACCCACTTTGGCGGCACCGTTTGAGACCAACTGACCACAACGTCCTCCAGATCTCATTCGCACGTGCTATTCTCTCCGTCACTGGAAGATTAGTATATCAGATCACCAAAATGGCGGATACGACGTCGCCGCCCAAGTCCGTCCACACCATCGTCCTCGATGCTGGCCCTATCCTGAAGAATACCCCGCCGTTATCCACCCTTCTCGCACAATGCGAGGAACTGCTCATCACCCCATCGGTGGTCAGTGAAATTCGCGATCCCGATGCCCGACTCAGAGTTGAGACTATGTACCTGCCTTTCTTAAAACAACGGACTCCGACCCCGAAAAGTATCAGTGTATTGAGCGAATTCGCCAAGAAGACTGGCGATAGGGCCGTTTTGAGTAGAACCGATATTGAGGTTCTGGCACTTGCATATGAGATAGAGTGTGAAAGGAACGGTGGCGATTGGCGGCTGCGCAGTGTTCCAGGGCAGAAACAGGTGAATGGCAAGCCACCCGTTAAGGAGGAAGTAAAACAGCCCGAGACGGCGGATGAGTCTGGCCAGACTGAGGAGAAGACCGAAAGTCCTGAAGTCGATGCAATTGCGGAGGATCTGGAGAACACGGCTCTAGAGAAACCGAATGAGAAGTCACGGGATGAAGCCACCGCTGCTGAAGAAACCAAGCCAGCCGAACAATCAACCCCGCAAGAGCCCCAAGAAGAGGACGACGAAGCCGCTGACTCGGACGGCGGAGAATGGATCACCCCTTCAAATCTGAAGAAGAAACAAGCCCGCGACGAGGGTATCTCTGCGTCGGCGACACCGGAGCCCAAGGTTATGCAAGTTGCGACGATGACGACTGATTTTGCGGTAAGCGAATCCTGTTTCCCATGTATGTCACCTATACATCGTGGCTGACTATAATTCAGTGCCAAAACGTGTTACTCCAGATGAATTTGAACCTACTTTCGACCACAACCTTACAAAGAATTCGCCATCTTAAGTCCTTCATTAAACGCTGTCACGCTTGTTTCTTCACGACCAAGGACATGAACAAGCAATTTTGCCCACGGTGCGGAAAAGACACCCTCACTCGTGTCTCTTGCACTACCGATGCCAATGGGCAGTTCAAGATGCACCTGAAGAAAAACATGCAATGGAACAACCGAGGAAACGTTTTCAGCATTCCCAAGCCCACCCACGGAAGCTCTAGTGGGAAGTGGAAAGGAGGCGGTGGTAAAGGCGGCTGGGGAACCGATCTTATTCTCGCAGAAGACCAAAAAGAATATGTCAGAGCTACTGCTGAGGAAAGCCGAAGACTTCGGAAGGAACGGGATCTTATGGATGAGGACTACCTCCCTGGAATTCTGACCGGAGAGAGAAACAAGCACGGTGGTCGGATCAAAGTTGGCGCTGGTAAGAGTGTGAATTCGAGGAAGCGGTAATTATCTCCCGCAGTCCTTTTTGCATGGATACTGGATTGGAGTTTGGCAAAAAAACAAAAGTTCTACGATTACTGGTTTTTTCCTACGCTGCATGGGTTATGATGATAACCGATTCGTGACGGTTCATAGAGCACATAGGGCATATATAAGGGTATAGATAAAAGTGGATCTTCTCTATACGAGAGGCCGGACTATTATGACCGAATATGAGCAACACTTTTTGGAATCCCTCATGCAAGTGGTAGGCAGTAAAGAGGCCCCCCGAAAACTTCTCATTTAGATGTCCGCACGTAACACCATTCGCCAAAAGAACATGATTTCCAAACAGCACCTATGAAACAACCTGGTTTATCCCATGATTTCGCACTCTACAGCTCAGAGGTTTGCAAATCTGACAATAGAAGTTAGCCGTTGATCAAAGCTGACCCTTGGGAGCGAGCGGGTTTCATACCCTTCTGCTGGGTCAGGAGGAGACCATATCTTCTCTTCAAAGTCACACGGTGACGAGAGTACTTGTCATCGGGCGAGAAGCTTTTCCATTATTAACCACTGTATCCTCAATATCAATCAAATGAAGCCTTACCGAGCAGGGTGAGCGCTCTTGGTGACCTTTCCCTCAGGGGTGACTTTCTTGAGGGTATACACCCGCTTTCCCTCAGCGTCCAGAGTGTACTATTAAAGATCGTATTAGCTCCTGCTGGATGTGCCCGAACTCCAATGGTCATCTATCGCCAGGTGGTGTAAGGGTATTGCATTTGTGGGAACGTACCATAAGATGCATCCTAGTGAAACGGTGGTCAGTGATGTTCATGCCAATCGAAGTTTGCAAAGTTTTAACTTACTTTGCTAGAGTTGTTTTAGTCGGTTACTGGAGAGAAAGTACAGGTTCTGGAAAGAAAGTCACTGTCCGTGAAGTCCTCCCGCAATCATCAAAACCCAATTTTTTTCGCCGGACCGTGATGCGCACGGGCCATTCAATGTGCTTAGTCATTATGGCCTTTATTAGGCGGTTCCCAATCGGAACTTTTTCTTTTCTCTTGTAAACCACCAGATTTTGACCTTCGGGCAAAAACAAGAGAATTGGGATGATGATGAGCATCCATCGTGACGTCGCAGTATGACGATGTTTGGACATCTCTTGCTACTTGTCAATTGTATTTAGTTACTCACGGCTCTTGGTTACAGCCTGTCCGTGACCTCGTCACAGGGCTGGGAGCACCCAGAAAAATCTTTTTTTTCTGGTAAGCAAATGCAGCTTCAGTCAGAAGAAAGACTTGCAGTTGATCTCCGGTGATGACACCAATATACCTAAACCTAGGCAATGGCACTTTGATTTCTTCGCTGTTGTCGATGAAGTGGTTTAATTGACTACAACGGTATCTGAGGAGAACAACCTACGTCGAATCTTTTGCATCGTCTCGTAAAGAAGAGTTCCATGCTGACTCTTCCCTTATGTAGTATACTATCAATACAACTATCTTTTCTATTACATTAGTTATGGCTTCTCAATCCAATCCAATGTCTGCGTCCGAGGCTGCAGCTGCCTCTGCGAAGTCCGAGCCCACAAACAAAAATGCCCCTCAAGGTCGTCCTGGCCGGCTCTCTAGGCCCAACTACAGACAAATTCATCGTTTCCCTCTTCCCATCAATGTGCATCCTCTGCCTCCTCTAATACCACATAACCCTCTGTCCATTGTCAGCGTGCTGCTCTCGTATTTAACATACTTGATTGCTCCCCCGCACCATGAAGTCTACTCGGCTTACTTTGACTCCGAGACATCATCCGTTCATGTTACAGATGCCAAAGCCATCCGAGCATTGTGGGAGATGGGCTTCTTTGGCAAAGGAAGTCTGAGTCGAAGTGAGCCTAGCTGGTTGGAACGGGAGAAGAAGAGGAGAGGATTACTCGGTGGCGTTACCAGTGAAGAGGTTACACGCCAGCGGAGAACCGAGCGTCGTGAGTTGAAGCTAGAGAGGGCAAGGATGGAGAAGCTGGCCATCGAACAGAGACTTATGGCAGAAGCTGCCGCAAGGGAAGCCGGCGACACATTGATTGATCAGTCGGCTCTGCCACCATCCGCAGATGGTGTCACTAATGGTAAACTTGCTACAGAGAAGTTTTCCCTGAGGAAGGCTAGGGAGGCCAAATTGTCTGAGTCACAACGCTCGGTAGCACAAACGGAGAGAACCGATACACCCGACGCCCCTGATAGCTCTCCCTCCAACGGGAGTAAGACTGTGCGGTTCTCTCCGGTCGTTCAAGCAAAGGAGTTTGTTTCTGATTCGAGTGTCGTGCGTGCGCCCGATTCGACAATTGACGAACACGGAATTGAGGATGAGCCTTCACTGAACAATGAAGAACACCTTCAATTGTCTAACGAGGAGGCTTTCTTTCTGGTATACGGGCTTGGCGCTCTACAGATCGTCGATGGCAGACGAAATGCCGTTCTGTCTCCTCCCTCTCTACTGTCTCGGTTCTGTCAGCATTCTTACTGCCCTCCTCGTGATCTTTCAGCCAATTTAGAACCGGACGACCCTTTCATGATATCCTACATTGTGTATCACCACTTTCGGTCCCTTGGATGGGTTGTGCGCTCCGGAGTGAAATTCGGCGTGGACTACCTCCTCTACAATCGCGGGCCTGTTTTCTCGCATGCAGAGTTTGCAGTTGTGGTCATACCATCATTTGAGCACCCTTACTGGTCTGAAAATGAGGAGAGGAAGGCTCATTGTGCTAGGAAACAGGCGCGCAGCTGGTGGTGGCTCCATTGTGTTAACCGAGTGCAAGCCCAGGTGAAAAAGAGCCTGGTGGTCTGCTACGTGGAAGTACCACCACCCATGTCCGGAGAAACCAACGTCTCTTCAGAGGATATCGGCGCTCTTCTTGCTCGGTATACGGTACGAGAGATGTTGATCAGGCGATGGGTGCCAAACAGGACTCGGGACTAGTGAGGGATCCTCGTTTTGTTTCCATGTATTATACAACTCATCTATCTTCTTCGGTTCTATCTGAGAATGACCAGCTTCCTTCGTCCGAACGGTAACCGGAGGAACTGACTAGCGGCTATGTAACCTTCTGTAAATCAATTTACACCGGTATCCGCCATGTACATCAAGAGTAAAACCAATAAACATCCGCTGAGTGAAAGTCGAACTAGTCCGATAACGGTAATATTACTTAGTCACGTGAACGACGCGTTTCGCGCTCCTTTGGTTCTGGAGGTCGAGAACATCTTGTTCTTAGTATGACTTTGGCATGTGAAGGCGATGATCGCAATTGGAGTTTTCGGACGATGAATTACCGCCAATATCGTGTCTAATAATCTACCGGTTGAAGGGATCATGGAGACCCAGGATGACAGTATCGATATCCCACAGTTGCAACGCGTCGCGTTGGGACGAGTGAGTGGTCACACTGGTGGCGCTGTGATCTCGATTGCTCTAACACCAATCATTTGCTTAGGAGCCTGCACAATCCCAGTCGATAATACCCGGGTCCGAGCTTGTCAAGAATATTCCCCAGAACAACGTCATCCATGAGCATTCCTCTCAGGTCTCTAATGGTCATCAATCGTCTACTGGCCAGGAGATCTCTCGGAAATCCCCGTCGAGTCATCCCGAGTCGCCCTCGCAGGAACAGAATGCTCAAAGCTTGACAAACGCTGCTCGATTGTCCCTTGAACAAAGAAGACAAGACCCTGTCACTGGGTTGCACCCCTTTAAGAAGATGAGCTCTGCAGACACGGTGCCTTCCGACACCCAAGTCATCTCGCAGTCGGTTTATGACAACCTTATAAGACAGAACCAGGAAGCTGCCGATACTGGGTCGGACAATAATCTTGCCGATAATGCAACTTTGAGGACGCTGCACGAAGGTGATATTGGTCATGTGGATCTGCTGGCTGGGTTTGACGGGTCAAACACCGATGTAACCAATGGTGATGATAACGAGGATCAGAGCAGCTGCAAGCTCGGGGAGTCATCTCCCATGCAGTATCAGCCGAATCTCTTTCCCGAGTCCCAGCGCTTTGTGTCGAAGACTCCGGCGACAGCAGTGAAAACAGGGCATGTCGATGGCCTTGATACGGTGACCCCCACAGCGTCGAGGAACCCTCTCGCGACGGAGCTTGGATCAAGCGGCGGTATCATGGCACTAAGCCAGGTGTTCAAAGCAACCCAGGCCCCTTCCTCTCCCCTCGTCCATGGCCAACAATTGGATCCCATGTCTGACCGGCCTTCACCTAATCTGCCTATTCAAAACCGTTCGCTTGCCACAACCATGTCCTCGCCGCTAAATAACGTTGCGGCAACCTTTCCCCGGGATTCCTCAGAGCCATATCTCAATTATATCACCATGCAAGAATCACAAGCGCTGAGGGATATAATTTCACGGGAGAGAATGACACGCTCTGCAGACCATATATACTTGGAAGATCAAAGTGACGGCGAATTTGACAAAGAACCCAGCTTTGTGGAGCGCATAAGGCGACAGAGAAATATCGATGAGGCAACCAGGGGACAATTGGCCAGTCTTTCAGCTCCCCCAAGACCAGCAAGTCGCAAGAACTCAGATAAAATGAGCAAGTCACCTAGCAGACAGTCAGACCCGCGAGACCGGGCAGATGCAGTTAGATCTGCTACGCCCAGACTTGAACACCAAGGAAACGTTGCTGCAGGCGCAACCAGCGAAGAAGAGACGGAACAGGAGGATGAGTTTTCCCAACGGATGTGTCGGTCTCAAGACCCAAATCCTTCGACCGAGGAGGATAAAGAAAACCATAACGATCCCTTTACCACCCCGCTGGCTGCCGCGACCAGTGCACATGATCGTTTGTCCCAGGCGCTTGCTCTTGATGGAGCCCCACCCCCTAACCGCAGAAGGTCACTACAAGACGCTGCAGAGCCCCAACTACCTCCTCATGGTGCTGATGACGAACAACTAGATGGTACCAGCAGGTCATCCCAAGTTATCGTGAAGGACTCTCAGCGGTCCCCAGGTCCCCAGAATGAGGAAAACCATGGACGGGATAATGCAGGAATGTGGGACAAGAACCTGGCCCAGGCTTCCGGCTCACACATTTCCACAAAGCATTCTCCAGAGAAGCTTGTGTCTCCTGCGAAACAACTCCGTATACAGTCAACTCCTCCCTCAGCATCCCAAAGAAGTCGAGTCTCGTTTCAACTCGATGATGACCGTGTAGTGGCTCGATCCAGATCAAACTCGGCCAGCTCACATGGTTCTCGCGAACATTCACCGAGAAAATCCATTGCCCAGGAGACTAGTGTACTGCGATCTAGCAATTCAACTGTGCATAAATCTATAGAACTAGGCGACAAAGCGCCGGCATCTGATATCAAGGAGAAGTCATCTTCGATGCCCTCCCGCGTGGCTGAGACACCTGTTCAATGCCCCAAGAGCTTTGGCGATGTGATGCCAGCGACGGCTATCCCAGAAACGAGCCCGAATCGATTCTTTAACCAAGGCTGGGCAAGTGACGTGAATAATGAAACAATGGATCAAGAGGACGACGACCTCCCTCCTCTTTACTCGTCCACACATGAACGAGGATATGGTTCCCAACCAGTTAATTTGAATAGCTCTTCGCCAGTGAAGGACTTCTATAACTCCAAAATCCTATCTAGTCCAAGTGGAAGACAACGTAGGGCACTGACAGAGATTGCAGCTGATGCTTCGCCTCAAATCGGGACCGGAGCCTTCGATGTCGATATTAATATCTTATCCGCCGACGATCGTGAGTTTAGATCTGCTGTTGCACTGTCTCCAGTTCCACCAAGAAAGAGACGACGTGGAAATGATGGGCAAAATGTCTTCGCCTCTGACCCAGTGCTTCCTATTACACCCCGTACCACCACTTATTTTGCTCCCCCAAAGGAAAGCGAAACAATGCCGGCCCGGGACTTTCAGCCCGAACAGTCAGTGCCTAAGCCTAAGGGAGTCTTTGAGAAACGATCACGACCTTCAAGGAGAGCGGAAACAGTATGGGACGTTGATGATTCTCCCCACTATCATGTTTCCCGGAAGGAGCGTGCGCGGCTATTCGGTCTTCCTCGTATTCTTGAGCAGAAGGCCAAGGAAGCTCATCAGTCTGAGGAGAGTACTAATGTACCGCTTGTTGCTGATCAAAACTGTTCAGAGGCCACATCGCTCCCCACGGAACAACATGTTGAAGTTTCTCGGGACGAGCCATCTGGGGACCTTGTCGAAAACAACACCGCTAGAGAGGACTCATTCACCGATAGCAATGTCGAAATTGCACTAAATCAGGTTCTTGCAGCCTGGAGCGGAACAAAACGTGCATTTTACCCTGCAACCTGCTTTGGAAGGCCTTTGGGGACTTCACAGTCCCGTTATTTAGTCAAATTCGAAGACAGTGCTCCCGTTGAAGTTCCCATTGGGGCTGTCAAGCGGCTCGAGCTACGGGTCGGAGATGCTGTGAAGGTCGATATGCCCAATGTGCCAAAGGTAACACACATTATCCGAGGGTTTGAGGATAAATTGAGCATAGAAGATCTCGAAAACGAGGCATCCAATGGCATTATCCGTATGACAGATGTATACGGCCATTCAACTGTCGTTTTAGGACAAAAGCAGCGCAAAAGCCTTACACGTGAAGGGCTTGCGGTTCCTGAGAATAGCGTCAAAGTTCCAATCTCCCGCATATACCTAGATACTATCCTCTGGAACCAACTCAAAGATCGAACATATAGCTACAGCTCTGTACATACACAATCAGAGAGTAGACTTCAAACCCCGTCCGATCGACACACCACGCCTGCTTCACCCAGCACTCGGTTATCTCGCAGTATCCGTTATTCAAACGGTATCTTTGCTGGAATGGTGTTTGCCGTGTCCTATGGGGAGAATGATGAAGCAAAGACTCGGATTACGCGGATGATATTGGATAATGATGGACGCATTCTCCATGACGGCTTCAATGAGCTTTTTGATCTATCTTCAAGCCGTCCAGCTGTTACGCCATCGAAATCACCAACTCCAGCAACGAGCAACAACCAGTTCCGTCTCACTGGCGGCGCCGAAGATGTGGGCTTTGCCTGCTTGATAGCTGACAAGCATTCTCGCCGTCCAAAGTACATGCAGGCACTAGCACTCAATCTTCCTTGTCTCTCGGACCGCTGGATAGAGGACTGCGTGGCTCAACGTCAGGTTATAGACTGGGAGATGTATTTGCTTCCCGCTGGGGAATCATCTTATCTCCATGGAGCGACGAAATCCAGATTATTGCATCCTTATCCTGCTATGCAAGCACGACTGCCTGAAACCATTGCTGCGCGGCCTAATCTATTGCAAGGGCAGTCGGTGCTAGTCGTGATGGGCCGCGGGAAAGCTGATGAAGAGCGAAGAAAAGCGTATCTCTTTTTAACATATGCGTTAGGTGCTTCCAAAGTCGAACGTGTACCTGATATCAAGTCAGCTCGGGCGGTCCTTGACCAGGATGCAACTGGAACTGGATGTGAATGGGATTGGATCTACGTGGATAATGATGAAAAAGCCTCCGCCATAGCCACAATCCTGGGAGCCTCTATCCCAGGCAGCCCAAAGGCTTATCCCGCCCAGAGGTCAAGAAAGCGAAAAAGAAATGAATTAACCGAGTCAATAAGTGGCAGTGATCTCGGTCTGAGCACCAATGTCAGGATTGTGGGCAACGAATTTGTCTGTCAAAGCCTGATCCTGGGGAGGTTGATTGATTAACAGTTTCGACCAATATACTTCTGATCTTCGGTGGTTCATGATTGATATTTACTGGTTGGAAAGGAGTATAGACTTGACGAGGAAATGCAGCTTTGTTAAGGGCTTGATGTCATGGCATTTATAATAGCAGTTATACCCCAGTGTGTCTGCGGCACTTATTTTGGATATGGTCTTAATGAATTTGGCTCCAATTGCTTTACATATCTCAAGAGTGACCCCCTATACATAATACATTGAATAACGATTTAGTGGAAGTAGACATTTCTCTATATTACAAAAGCACCCTTAAGCCCGATACCATGCAACACCACTCGAGATATACGGAAACATAGGATAACGGGTGAAGTGTTGGCTATGATCATTTAGCGGCCACCCTTGCCCTTCTTTGAAGCCTTCTTCTTGTTCTTGAGACTCTTCATCTGGGCAGCCCGCTCGGCCCTAGCCTGTCTCTTCCTCCATGCCAACCAACGATTCTTGGGGTTGTACGGTTTCGCTGTAATCCCGGCCTTCTCAGCTGCTCGACCAATCTGCCAGTTCGCCTCACGGTACATGTAACCGGGACGCAGCTGGGAGCCTGAATCGGCGTTCACAGCCTCCACGCTAGACACCATAGTGCCATTGTCAATAGTGGCAACAAGATCCGACTGTCCAGCAATCGGCGTAGGGGCGTCATCGATGCGAGGGACAGCGACCCTATTCAGTTTCCGTCTGGTCGGGGCATTCCGCGGCGTAGGCAATTTGCCGTCCTTCTCAAAGCAAACGCCGATGTACTTCCGGTCAGGGTGCCGTTCAGGATCCAAGTAGTATCGCACATATCCTGCCTCGGTGGCATAGATGGTATGATCCCTGCCTACCGCGCAATTCTCGCCTGGAAACCATTTCGTTCCACGCTGACGGAAAATGATACAACCCGGAACGACGTATTCACCGGTACTCCGTTTCGCACCGAGACGTTTTCCCGCAGGGTCACGGGAATGTCGATTCGCCGTACCCTGGGTGGCGTGGGAGGCATGACGGACTTGAGAGAAGGGGAGGAGGCGGTTCAAGAATGGTGTCGATGCGGAGGTGTTGGTTCGTGAGAGTATTGATGGTGGTGGTGGTAGTCGGGAGATTGGCTGTGTTGAGCGGAGCGTTGGCACAATCGCTCTCTCCAGTACCCGGAGGGGCGCCAGTAGTCTTTGTTGTAACATGTTGATTAGCAAGGGACGGGCGACTCCCCAATGTTCCTGGATGTTGGACGGGGTTGATCGCGGTTTCCTATGGTGACTTTTTTCGCGGCGGCCAGCCTGGGTCTTGGCAGGTCACGTGTGTTTGCGAGAGTTGGCTTCATTGCATACAAATTACACAAGTTACTTTGAACGGTGACATGTTGCTTACATTGGGTAAGGCATAGTATCGCTTCAGCCAATAACCTCGGAGGCTCATATATCAGGCTCTACTTGCAATGCTGCAGTTCTGGATCCGGAGCTTTGGAGCTTTGCTCCTTCTGGCCTCCGTGGCCCACGCTCAGTTCCAGTTCTTTGAGCATATGTTTGGCGGCGGACGTCAAGAACATCAGCAGCAAGCCGCTCAAAATGAGCCCAGCGATAGCTCACGATATCAGAACATGTGGGAATCAGGTACTTGATCATGACACCTCGCGCGCTATTCCATACACTCTAGATAATAGCTAACATGTTTCCACGCTTACAGCTCAATGCGACAAGTATCTATGTCCCGGCACACTTGCTTGCGTCCATTTTCCTCATCATTGCCCATGCGCACACCCCGATAGCGAAGACAAGATCGAACTCGGTGAAGGAAGCGCTGTCTGCATCTCGAAGGGAGGATTCCAGCCCGGCGAAGCGGCGCGCAAGATTGAGTTGGCTCGGAAGGGCGTCTTGTGATGGATTCTTAACTTAGTATGCGCGATTGGACTAGGTTTAGTTTATATTATTCTTTGTGATATCAGTTCGAGTTGGTTATGATGCATGGCGCGAGGTGATATGGTGTCTTTGCATATAATATCCATGGATTGTATAGCATGTGTAAACTCTCGGCGGTGCTTACAATGAGGATGATAACGCCGGAATTGACTGGCAAGGTCACATGGTGTTGTACTTTCGAAACATGCCCTTTTATAAGTCAGTGGAAATACTAGTAATCCCGTTGCTTCTATTCCCATGCCGCATAGAGGTATGTAGATGCCATCTTTCTGCTTGATTCTGCCCCTCCTTATCTCCGCTTAACTCCATTGACAAGTTCGTCATGGTCTCCGCCTGCTGCTTCTCTGCAGTATCTCAACAACATCCCGCCATCCATTGCGGTCCTCTGCAATATAGTCCCGCTTTACTCTGAGTTAACCTACTCTATACTAGCTGTTATCTTCACCCCAGACATGTGGAGTGCCAGACTCCAACTACAGCCGGTGCGTTGGCTTAAAGGTCCCGGCCGAGCGCTGTCAAGTTCATTCACCCGAGGACGAGTTAGCTCTCGTGGCCCCCGGAATTCGATACGACGGCCAGAGCCCATCAGAAGGGACAATACACCCTCACAGCAACCGGAACCACCGAGTTCAGCGACAAACGATGCCAGTTCCCCAAATTCGAACTATGACCCCGCCCACAACACTCTACTCTCCCCTGTTCATATACCAGAAGATCCTCGTGGAGTATTAAAGGAAAACCACCCTGCAATCGGTATATTAGCAAATTCTGGCCTAGTTGTGCAGCGGCAGCTGGAGCTCATGAATGTTATGATGTGAGTGTTCTGGCGTACGAAAACGTCAGAAATCTACCGGCTAACTTGGCACTTCCTTTTTTTTTTTTTTTTTTTTTTGCAGTGGGTTTGAACAAGCCAACAAGTATGTCATTATGGATGCGAATGGGCATCATATCGGGTACATGGCGGAGCAGGAGCGAGGAATGACCAACATGATGGCTCGACAGTGGTTCCGAACCCATAGGAGTTTTGTGACGCACGTTTTTGACAGGCACGAGAATGAGGTTCTGCGCGTAAGCCTTGAAAGCACCCTCTTCGCTTTCAGTGTAGCGCTGACATTATCTAGTTTCACCGACCATTCTCATGGATTAATTCCCGCATCCGCGTGTACGACCCTCTCGATGTTGCTAGAAATACCTACTCCTCTTCCACCTCTCTTCAAAACATTCAGTCGGGCTCACTTATCCAGGCCACGGGGGATTCCAATGCCCGGGTGTCATCACTAGGGCTGGATGAGATGCGCGTGATCGGCGAGGCCCAGCAGCAGTGGGCACCATTACGGCGGAAATACAACCTATTCATTTACCATCACTCCCCGACCCGCGCGACGGATATGGGCACCGTCTCCCAACCGCTTCGGCAGTCCGGTCTTTCCAACGCCCAGGAGATGCAATTAACTCAAACGGCAGATGGTGGTCAAGCTATGGGTGAATTCAATCAGTTTGCCTACGTTGATGAGCCTTTTTTGTCGTGGGATTTTTCTCTTCGCTCAGCCAATGATCAACTCGTCGGATCCGTTAACCGTAACTTTTCTGGTTTCGCTCGAGAACTCTTCACAGACACTGGTGTATATGCTTTACGAATGGACTCGGCCGCCTTTAGCCCTGAACAGATACCTGCGCAAAACAATGCTGTTACTGGCATGACGCTCGACCAGCGCGCAGTCATGTTGGCTACTGCAGTAAGTATCGACTTCGACTACTTTAGTCGTCATAGTGGTACTGGTGGATTTGGTTTCATGCCTATCTGGATCCCCGGTGTTGGCGGAGAGGCTGCAGCGGGTGGTGCCGCTGCCGGCGAAGCTGGGGCTGTGGGTGAAGCGGCCGCAGGAACTCTCGGCCGGGCCGGTGCAGCTGGAGGATTGGCTGAGGGTGCAGCTGCAGGTGCCGCCGGTGCTGGAGCGATAGCCGGATATGACGCAATGTCTCGAGGCGCGATGGGAGAGCATCAGTCGCAGTCCGCTCCACCAGATCAACAAGTGCTCCCAAAAGACCAGCAGTCACCTACCTCCGGCCAAACAGGCCCTTATGGTGATGTTTGGGAAGATGAACCGCAAGACCCTTGGGCCCAGAGTCAAGAGGATCCATGGGCGGCAGACGATACCGAGGCAGGAGACGGTGACGATTATGATTGGTTTTAATCGTGTTTTGCAAGGCGTTTACTCTGGAGCGGTGGGTTGCAGGTTTACGGGAGTTCAATATAAGAAGCGTTGTTTGCTCGTATAGAGAAATACATTTGTATTATAATTAGGACATGGACAGACACTATCTCTCTCCTTTTTTTTTCTGTTTTTTTCACATCTTGATGCAGCAATGCCGATCAATGCAAGCATAAATGCGGGCCGAACCCCTCGGCGATAAGCAGCGGCAATAATATGTGCGGCCTGGGGCATCAACCATACTTTTCCCTTCTGTCCAGTGGCAACTTCATTTTCCTCTATCTACTGCGCTGGAGTTGGAGCCGGGAAGATTTTCATCGCTTCATATTGTTACCGCGGGTTGTCCAAACAGAAAAGAGCAAAATTCTATAAATTATCTTCAGTTGATAGTCTTCACTATTAAGGCCGCACTTGAACCCCACTCCGTTGTCTCCGCAAAACGCCTCACTACGAATAATACAACGCCGAACAATTCATTGATCTACGAAATCAACGTTCCTCTTTCCCTCTATATTCACACTCTTGCAACAGGACTAGAGAGCAATAATGTCCACCGTCGCGCAAAAACGTCTATTCCATGAGTACAAGAACCTCTCCACCAACCCACCAGACGGCATCACCGCGGGCCCGGTCACTGAAGATGACATGTTCCATTGGGAAGCCCTGATTGAGGGTCCACAAGGCACACCTTTTGAAGGTGGTGTTTTTGCTGCCGAGTTGAAGTTTCCAAAAGATTATCCGTTGAGTCCGCCGACGATGAAGTTTGTGGGTGGAGGCGTTTGGCATCCTAACGGTACTTCCCCCTGTTCTTATCTACGATGGCGGGGAGGTGGTTAACAGGAGGTTTTGAGCTTTTGCTGATTATGTTTTGTCACTGGACAGTGTATCCGAATGGAACCGTGTGTATCTCCATTCTTCATCCTCCCGGCGATGATCCGAACCACTATGAGCATGCGTCGGAGCGGTGGTCACCTATCCAGAGCGTTGAGAAGATTCTTATCTCTGTCATGAGTATGCTTGCTGAGCCAAATGACGAGAGTCCTGCCAATGTTGAGGCGGCAAAAATGTGGAGAGAACGGAGGAGTGACTATGAGCGCAAGGTTCGTGATGAGGTACGCAAGGGCTTGGGACTGTAGGGGCGTTCGCCTATTTGCGGAGTTGGAATATGATGGAGAGGCGTGGTACCTCTTCGATTGTACCGAGCTTGTGCTTGTGGCAATTGTTCGCTGGTGGGCAGCATAGCTCGGTATGGATGCATGCATCTGTCTTTGGTTGGTCGTGGGGCCATGGCGTTTATGGTACATCATTACTGTTCAAGGCGCTTCTATCGGGGCCTGTTTTCACTCTTTCCTTGTTCTTGCGGGTCTTCTTCGGCAGAGCTGATAGAAAGTAAATATCTTGTTTGAATTATACATATATATGGGTAACCTCGTCCTAGTTATCCGATGGAGAGAAACCTACCATCTTTTGATCAATCCATCCTTCCAGTCCTCCATCCCAATCATAAAGTATCTCGATCTCAGCTTTCAGGTTCAGCATGAGCATTTGTTGCAGCTCTGCACGCCATTCCAGTTCGGGTCCTTCGGCTGCCCATACAGGGCTGTTCGACAACATGGTCATGATCTTCTTTCTGTCGCGTGCCGTCAATCTAATCAAAGCCCCGTCATCGTTGCTCGGTGCTCCAGATACGACATCGGACGTTCGGAGGCCCAACCAACAGAGACAAGGAATGTTCAATCTTCCATTCTGGTTCGTATGTGCCATTGAGCCGTACTTGTATGTTGACATAATAGCCATGCCGTCGGGGTCGCTGTCAACTAGACCATAGAAAGGTAGGATTTTGTCTGATCTACGGCTTTTCTCATATATTTTTCGTAGGAAGGCTCTAGTTGAAAGGTCTGGGTAGCCTTTGCCCTAGTGGTTGTTGATTACTGGCCCAGTTATGCAGCTTAAGGAGGGCTTACAGTGATGAGAATCCCTCTTCCTGCGGCCGCTCTAGTATGATAATTACTTCTTGCAAGTCGACGGTATATGGCCTGTGTACTAGGTGAGTATTCGTAACGAGATTATGGGGCAATTGTAGCACCTCTTTCTCGATGATCAAGACCCAGCTAGCATCTGAGATGTCAATTTCACCGTTGTCTTGGGAACTTGGTACTAGACAGTCCTATCTAGATCAGTTGGGGCCTTTGACAAAGGGAGCGGAGTACTCTTCAAATCTGTATACCTTGTCAGGTAATCTAAGATCCATTGTCTCCCCATATTTGGTTAGAAGGCTACAATAGCCCGTCACAAGCCCTTTTGCAGCCGCTTCCTGTCGCATTGTCCAAGGCGTCAGACCGACAGGATCAATTCAAGTGTAGTTGTCGTAAAGGAAGCTCACATACAATATTCAATGCGGATCTGTCAACTCCGATGGTGTAGGCCAGATCATCGACGATTGCATCAACAACTTTCTGTGTCCCAAAGCAGACCGGGTCGCTGTAGTATATGTCTCTGCTTAGGCATCAGAAGGTGCGGAAAGCTTGGTGCGAATCGTAGACCTTTTAGAAACTAATAAACCTGTGTCAATAGCATCTGCAACGACTGCAAGAACTCGAAAGACAACGGCTATTGTCATAACGATCAGTACAAGGACCCTTGGTAGTGTTGCCAATAGAATGATGTATATACTAAACTTCCATGCCTCGAAGGCGTTTGCGCCGGGCCAGGAATAGGTGATATATGTGTCTGCTCCGTTGCTTTCAAGAGCTCTACTTGTGGGACTAATGAAAAGTGACACATTCCTTGATCTTCGTTTGAGTGTTATGGTTGGTCGGCCATCTGGTGTGGATAGTTCGTCAAGGGCAGATGCCAGAGTCTCGTTGACGTATCGCTTGACTAGGCGCAGGGAAGTTGACATATCATTGTCTTGAGGAAGGTCTAACTCCATGTACTCTAAAGCGTCGTCCATCGGATGCAAAGAATTCGAATATATGAGAATGGATGTTCGGTAGAGAAGAGTAAAAGAGTGCAAGACACTAGACTAGGTGCGATATAGCAACATGACATGATCATGTTGCAGTTGGTCGCAACAGAACCACTAAGTGCAATTCTAAGCAGATTGGCTATTTCTAGGGCTTCTACTGAAAAGCGACAATGAATCAAGCCACGTAGATGTGTATACCGTATCAGTACATACAGTATTGAGTACTCATATGATATCGATCAGTGCCTCGTGATTCAGGCAGCAAGTGTCGCCCCTGATGACTAAGCAATCAATAGATCGACCAACCCCAGATCTATCAACATCTTTTTCCCCCATTCTTGTCCACTCCTTGCAATTGATTGCCAGACGGTACTGATCTCTCGGGTTTTGGTGGTTTCTTTCAGGCTAGCATATCCAAGCAAATACTGCCAGACGCACTCTAGCAGATATGGCCGATCCTATCGCCCCTTGGAGAACCGCGGCGCAGGGCCATTTGACCGCCGATGCTAATGGAGATCCCAAAACAGACTACTCAAGGTGGAGATTGTTGGACGATGATGGTCGTCACACCTGGCATTACCTCGAATCCGATGAAGAGAATGCAAAATGGCCTCAATCCGTAGCTGACAAGTACTTCTTGGGACTCCCTACGGTATTGTTTTCCAGCCCTCGTTGTCGTTGCCTCGGGTGATCTTGTGACTTGTGATCCTGACTTCCCTGCAGGGACTTCCCAAGCTGCCACCTGCAAAGACGCCACTACAATGTGCAGAGAATGGCTTGGAATTCTTCTCTAAATTACAACTACCCCCAGGCAATTGGGCCTGTGAGTATGGTGGGCCGATGTTCCTGTTACCAGGACTCCTCATCACCTACTATGTAACCAACACTCCAATCCCTCCGGAGTATGCGACTGAGATCAAAAGGTATCTTTTCGCTCGTCAGCATCCCGAAGATGGAGGCTGGGGTCTCCATATCGAGGCCCATAGCTCCGTGTTTGGTACCTGTATGAATTATGTCGCGCTGCGCTTAATTGGTGTCAGTGAGGACGACCATCGAATGATCAAGGCCCGTGGGCTACTACATAAATTTGGCGGTGCCATTTATGGACCACATTGGGCAAAATTTTGGCTTAGCATTCTTGGAGTCATGGATTGGGACTGCGTCAACCCCGTTCCTCCCGAAATCTGGTCCGTTCTGCCCCCTTTTATCTCTTTTTTGGCTTCACCTCCAATTGATGATTAGTCTACTTCGAGTACTGATATTTTACTTTAGGCTCCTTCCGGACTGGGTCCCATTTGCCCCATGGCGGTGGTGGATTCATATTCGCCAGGTCTTTTTGCCCATGTCTTTCTTGTGGTCTAAGAAATTCACTCATCCACTGGATCCGCTTACCAAGCAGCTTCGAAGCGAGCTGTATACCGAGCCGTACGACTCAATTAACTTCGCAAAGCACCGTAATTCGATTCACAAGGCTGACAATTACTATCCGAAGACGTGGCTCTTGAATACGATCAACTCACTTTTGGTCAATGTCTGGAATCCCTACCTGCGGTTCCCCGCACTCGTGCGCCGTGCTGAAGAATGGACCTGGGAGTTGATTCGCATGGAAGACGAAAATACTGACTACGCAGGGCTTGGTCCTGTGAGCAACCCAATGAACATGGTTGCTTGTTATCTCCATGACGGTCCTGATAGCTATTCGGTCCGTCGTCATCGAGAGCGTCTAAATGATTATATGTGGGTGAAGAATGAAGGGATGTTGATGAACGGCACCAATGGTGTTCAGGCGTGGGATACATCCTTCATCACGCAAGCCATCGTCGTTGCAGGCTTTGCGGATGATCCTAAATGGCGGCCCATGCTCACAAAAGCCCTGGAATTCCTTGATGATCACCAGCTGCGGGAGAATGTACCTGACCAGGAGAAGTGCTACCGTCAGCACCGGAAGGGTGCATGGCCCTTCAGCAACAAAACTCAGGGCTACACAGTCAGCGACTGCACAGCCGAGGGCTTGCGGTCTAGTATTCAGCTCCAGGAAATCCACAACTATCCTAAATTGATATCTGTACAGCGCTTAAAGGATAGTGTTGACTGCTTGCTGCTCATGCAAAATCCTTCTGGCGGTTTTACAGAGTATGAGAACACCCGTGCATCGCCCAAGGTGGAGTGGCTGAATGCCGCTGAAGTTTTCGGTGGGATTATGATTGGTTACGACTATCCCGAATGTACCACTGCCTCCGTCACTGCGCTGTCTCTGTTCAGCAAGTTTTATCCCGATTACCGATCCGACGAGATTCTGGCGGCAAAAGAAAAAGCTGTCAAATACATCAAACGCGTGCAGAGATCGGATGGAAGCTGGTATGGATCTTGGGGCATCTGCTTCACCTACGCTGCCATGTTTGCCTTGGAAAGTCTCGCGAGTATTGGAGAGACCTATGAAAATAGCGATTGTTCCCGTCGAGGTTGCGAGTTCCTCATTTCCAAGCAAAAGGAAGATGGAGGTTGGGGTGAATCTTACCTCAGCAGCGAGCGACATGTGTACACCCAACATGAGAAATCCCAAGTATGTCAGACTGCTTGGGCATGCCTTGCCCTGATGGAGGCAGGCTACCCGCACAAGGAGCCGCTTCGCAAGGCCATGAAACTTATGATGTCCCGTCAGCAACCCAATGGGGAGTGGCTGCAGGAAGCTATCGAGGGTGTTTTCAACCAATCTTGGTGAGTATTCTCTACCTGTGTCATAGAATAGTTGTGCTGACATGAGTTTAGTATGATTTCATACCCTAACTATAAGTTCTATTGGCCTATTCGCGCTTTGGGACTATACAGCAGGAAATTTGGCAACGAGGAGCTCCTGTAGAGTGGCTGGGCCTGCCCTATGAAGGGAAACAACCTGGCCAATGTTTTATTACATGTACAAATAGCTTTTAATTTTCAGTGGTAATGAACGATGACGAACAAGAAGTCTTTCAATTTCATGTGACTGAGCTTGCGTCTGCTGACATAAGCCTTCCCCGCAATCTCCAACCCAAACAGAAAGAAAGAAACTAAAGGAAAAGTGATGGAAACATCCATTGAACCATACCATCGCCTCAGAATACAAATAAGTCTTTGTTCTTCTCTGCTATAACTTCTGCCCTCCTTCCTGCCTCAAGCCCCCGCGCCCCAGTGCTAGGCTTATCGTACATACATCAAGCTGCGGAGCTCATAGCTCCCACAAGCTCCTAATATGAATTCCGCAACACAGGGCGACAAGGCCCTCGCGAGCTCCGACTTCCTTGGTGCTATCCGTTACTTCACACAAGCCCTGATCGAACTACCTCGTGCGCCGCCATACTACCTGAAACGATCGACCGCCTACTCTCGAGTCAAACCAGCAGATGGAGGCCCCCACTCCCAAGCAGCGCTGCGCGATGCGGAGATTGCTCTAACCCTAGCGCAGGAACGTGGAAAGAGGGAGTTAATCTTAGCTGCTCAGATGAGACGTGGTGTTGCATTATACCAGCTTGGAAAATATGGTGATGCGAGCTTTGTATTCGAGATCATCCAGGGGAAGACCGGCGCGGTTGCCGAGAATGCGGACAAATCAGACAGGATGAAGGATGCTATGGGTATGGCTGGTGGCGCTCGATCCGCATCAAAGAATGGGTATGAGCAGGAGTTGCCTATCTGGATACTCAAGGTCAAAAGCAAGCTTAAGAATTTGCCTGAGGGGGATGACAAGGCTGCTGTTACCATTGCGGAATATCCGAGTGGTGTACTAGTTCCGACCGAGAAGGAGCTTAAGAATCAGTTGGATACTCTCAAATCCGGAAAGCTCGGGGATAGCAGCGCCCAAAGTGAGCCTGCCACAGCTAGCAAGACGGTCACAGAGGAAGCTTCGACGTCCAAAACGTCGGATGGCCCAAGTGGTGCGGCTGGAAGCACCCCTTCTGCGGCTCCTTCCACTGTTCCTCCGTCTGAAAAGGTTCGGCATGAGTGGTATCAATCTAATGAGACCGTTGCTGTGACTCTCTACGTCAAAGGGGTACCCAAAGATCAAGTGGACATTGAATTAAAGGATGAATCGGTAGGGTCATCTACAGACGATCCTTCTCTTCCATGGATTCCAATCAATAATATGCTGACCATGCCTACCTACAGGTATCTCTCCAATTCCCTCTCCCATCTGGCGCTGAGTTTGATTTCACCCTTGATCCTTTGTTTGCGTCGGTCGACCCATCCTCTTCCAAGGTCTCTGTCATGTCTACCAAGATTGAGCTTGTCTTAAAGAAACGTGCTCCTGGCCAGAAATGGAGTGCTCTAGAGGCCTCCGCAGGCGACATCAAGCTTTCTGGTCGTCAAGTTATCTCGGACCCAACTCCTGCTGGTAGTTCCGCTCCAGTATACCCATCTTCATCCCGCAAGGGACCCAAAGATTGGGACAAGTTGGCGTCGTCGCTCACAGCAAAGCCCAAGCCCAAAGACAAAGGCAAGGTCAAGGACGGAGAACCAACGGACTCAAAAGCAGACGATGCTGGAGACGAATCAGACGGTGCCGACTCAGTTGACTCCGACTTTGGCGGAGGTGACGCCGTCGATGCGTTCTTTAAGAAACTCTACGCCAACGCAGACGAGAATACCCGTCGGGCCATGAATAAAAGTTACTTTGAAAGTCAGGGCACCTCTCTAAGCACTAATTGGTCGGAAGTGAGCAAAGGAAAGGTGGAGCCTCGTCCACCAAGCGACTGATTGTAACACTACTGTATTTGATCCGGAGTTCAGCTGGGTCTCCCCATATGTCCAGGTTAACTGACGATGAAAAGCACTAACGGCGTTGTGGCCATTGTCACTTCTTGCGGTGTCCTTCTTTATCTTCTTCTTCTGTTAGGATAGCGTTTAATTTCTTACATCAAAATATGCTGCAGCGATGACCCCTGATAAGTAACGATCTGGTTGGATGCTACCTTTCATTCTATGTTTTGAGAGGCCAAAGTATCTGTATACACGAAGTTTAGAAAAAACCCCAAACGCCTCCCGCAACGAGAAAAGCATAGCCTGAAGCGCAAGACTAAGAAAGGAGAATAGCTGCCTTTTGAATCCCCTCTGTTCGTGACGCCACCCTTGAATTTCAGTCGAAGGCAAATAAGGACCGACAAAACCAAGGATGACAGAAAAAAAATAAAATAGAAAAAGACCAGAGAAATAGCATGGCTGCTTGTGGGAGTGAACGGAATCATCCCCTCAACGTTTCCTCGCTAGTTCCCTCAGCCTCGCCGTAATTATTATCTTGATACAAGAAGAATTGCGCAAAGATGACCATATCAAGGAACAGGGTTCCTAAGCTCCCGATCAACCAAGATAAGTTCACAAGTATATACCGACCATACAAGGCAGCAGCTTCGCCAGGTCGACATTGGCTGACCCTTCCTTGGGCGTACTCCCCCTTGCAGACCGGGGAGTAAGCAAGTATAGAAAGAACGTAAGTTAAGTTGCCAATACAAGCGAAGAGGAAGAATAACAGGGATACACCATCCGTGGACTTCCGTCGGTAGTTGAGTAAGATCTGGGGTAGGCGAGATCCAAGGTACAGGGCTGCACATAGGTAGCCGAATACTTGACCCAGGGTATCGAAGGAGAGAGACCCGCTGTCATCCTGCCTATCTTCACCTTTTGATGATCCAGGGCTGACATACCAGCCAAGTACGCCGGCGGCGCAGACTAAGATAACGGCGGAGAGGTTGAATAGGGCGTTTTGGAGGGCGGAGACTCTGCGCGCAGGACGCGCCTCCTTCGCTGATGGTTCAACAAAAGGTGTCACGGGAGAGAGGTGTGTTCCATCCACGTTGGAGTGGAGAATATCCCTGAAGGAGGTTGCGGAGTGTCTCCTGTGATTTTGATGGTGTGGAGAGGACTGTTGACCGGACGGTCCTGACGTTGAGTGTCCGTTTCCCGTGTGCTCTTGAAGATGCGCCTGGTAGGAATGATCATTCGCCTTTGCGGATAGTAGAGCTGTTCGCTCTGATACCTTTCCAGGAAACGAAGGCTGGTCTTCGGCATCTGATTCCTGGAGGCGCGAGCTCGGTGGTGACGGTTCATCCCTCAGGGTGAATCCTCGATAGTAGAAACATTGGCCCAACAAGACAATATCGGCGAGTGTGTAGTACACAGCCAGGATGATCATCGTCGGCAGAACGCCTTGCAGGACAGCCCCGAGGATATTGAATACATCGCCCGCTAACCAGACAACAAGAAAGAGGAGTGACAAGCCATCTGCTGAGCCACGACGGAAATTCTCTATGATCTGGGGAGAAAATACAACAACCCAACACGCAATGGATATGGATCTAGTCAACATTAGTTACTTATCTTTTACACCTCCTCGCCCAGACACATACCCACAAATACCGCTGAGAGCTTCTAGATCTATATTACCAACTGGAGGTTGAAACATGTCTAACACAAGTAGAGGGACGAATTGGGTGGTCCACCCAGTTCGATCTTAGGCTACTGATGGTAAATAAAGAAAAATCTCGACTTTATCATGGAATTCCACAATTCTGTGAGGGCAACAAAGAGGGCTTGAAAACGATGACGCTCGAAGACTCTGTTCGGCAGTCACGTGGTTACAAATCCGGGGTAGTCGAGACTGCACAGACCACCTTTGTAATGGGAGGCAATTGAGACTCCTTTCACGAGTTAAACCCTGTTGATAGAGCATTGTATATGATATTATAGTTGTCCAGATGTAACTCAACAAGCATAGACACCCTGCATTAAAAACGTTACCTTCCGCTGCATGTCATGAAGACAAAGCCCTGATCAGGTGATTCTTTGCAGGATGAGTCAGCTACTATCAATGACGGCATTTGCGATCAGTGGCCAACCCAATGGGAAATCAAAGAGACCTACTGATATTGTCCCAATGGTACCCGATGGAGTTACAGTTGGTTGAGCAACTAACGGCAGTCTCTCTCAAACGTACACATTCTTTTTTCTTTCATCAGTATCGGCCAACTATGCGGCTTCAATGACGACTCCGTCGATCAGAATCCCATTCACCGGCCGGCTGCCTCCACCAGTAATTGTGCCGCCGTCTGCTCGTACTGTTTCGGGAGCTATTGATGCTCTGTTGTCATTTTTGACTGCTGCTCCGTCGCCCTACCTTCGTGGCGTTGACGTCGGGAGACATTCTCAGACTGTTCTCTTAACTGGTGCAGGAATCTCGGTGGCATCTGGCTTGTCTGATTATCGAGGAGAGAATGGCACATACGTCACAAACAAAACATATCGGCCTATTTATTTTCATGAATTTCTGACACGGCATGAGTTTCGCAAGAGATACTGGGCTAGAAGCTTTGTCGGCTGGCCAGGACTTGTGAAAGCAAAGCCCAACTCAACGCATTGGGCTATTAGGGACCTCAGCGCGAAGGGATATCTCAGCTCCGTAGTGACACAAAATGTCGACTCTTTCCATCCAATAGCTCATCCGAAACTACCAACCATCGAACTTCATGGCTATTTAAGATCGATCGTCTGTACCAGTTGTCACAATCATTTCCCTCGAGACGAATTCCAGAAGTCCCTTGAAAAACTTAATCCAGCCTGGGCAGAGTTTTTGGCCAAGATGGTTGACACAGGGGCTCTCAACACAAATAATCCTGAGGAACAGCGACGGAAAGGCCTTAAGCTTAACCCAGATGGAGATGTGGATTTAGCCGAGGCACCCTACTCTACGTTCCGATACCCAGCTTGTTCTACTTGTTTAGAGAAACCTCCTCGTCTCCGAGATGGCACGCCGGCTAGAGTCGAGGTAGAAAGCGACGGTGCATGGCTACCATCTTCGACTGCTGGAGTTCTCAAGCCTGCGGTCACTATGTTTGGGGAAAATATTCACCCAACAGTGAAAACGGCTGCAGAAGAGGCAATTGATGATGCAGGAAGGCTTCTCATCCTTGGAAGCAGTCTTGCCACCTTTTCAGCATGGAGATTGGTCGAACGAGCTCATAAAAGGGGTATGCCTATAGGCATCATCAATATTGGAGGGGTCCGAAACGAGTCGGTCCTCTTTGGTAAGATGGAGCCGGACGCCCCTCATATTCGTTGCAGTCTCAACTCCGATCTGATTTTGCCCCCTGTTGCTGCACAGCTTCCCTCTCTTACCCATGTGTGACATGATTTGGTCTGGATGTATTAGGGAATTTCCTGTGATGATAGAGTTGTATAGAACAGATAAAGTTGAGTGTGGTTTTTTTTTTTTTTTCTTTTGTGGGAGGTTGAGAACGTCCCAGTCATCGCTATTGTTTACTGCATGTAAACGTGTCTGACTTTCCGCTGATGATGTAGAAGATTAGAGGTTTCGTAGTACATCCTAGGGCAAGTAATACCTTACTTCGTATTAAGGAGGTACTGTGTATAAGGATGGACCGTACCTTACATAGCCGCCGGCAACTGGCCATCGGGTCACAACAGAACTTGTAATGTGATTTCGTACAGTACGGTAACCACCGATCTCTGCACCCTTTGGCCCTTGTGGTTATCCGCCGCGGGGCTCAAGAATTAAGGCTCCAATTAAATCGGAACAAGGGAATCACGGACATGGACAATCACAGCAGCTTAAGAACCCCGAGGAACCCTCACTCACAACAACAACAACACCCTACGTCTGCTTATCTGGACATTATTACGACACTTGTGTCTCCGAAATCTTTTCTTTTCAACCATCAACGCTCGAAACCCCCGCCATCGAAATCCCCAACTTCGCACCCTGCTGCGTCGCCGACGATGGACAAAGCGCAGCAGCCTAGCTCTTTTCAGCAGCTGGAAAAGGTGCGCGCGTCTTTCATTCTTCATATATGCAATCCGTGGAGGGAAGTGTGAAACTAATCCGCCTCTAGCTTGGAGAAGGAACGTATGCCACTGTACGTTAACCCCCGGGGTTACACCACTCTGACCTTTTCTCCGCGACCGTATCGCCCGGTATCATGTTTCATGCTTTTGCTCATACAGACGGTTGCAGGTATTTAAGGGCCGGAATCGTCAGACTGGTGAACTAGTGGCTCTGAAGGAAATTCACCTCGATTCCGAGGAGGGGACACCGTCGACGGCCATTCGAGAGATATCATTGATGAAGGAACTCAAGCACGAGAGCATTGTTTCACTTTACGACGTCATCCATACCGAAAACAAGTTGATGCTCGTTTTTGAATATATGGACAAGGATCTGAAGAAGTACATGGACACCCGAGGCGAACGGGGACAATTGGACCAGGCGACGATCAAGTCATTCATGCACCAGCTCCTCAAGGGCATCGCGTTCTGTCACGAGAATCGAGTCCTCCACCGCGACTTGAAGCCCCAGAATCTTTTGATTAATAAAAAGGGGCAACTCAAACTAGGAGACTTCGGTCTTGCCCGGGCTTTTGGCATTCCCGTCAATACATTCTCGAACGAAGTAGTGACCCTATGGTACCGCGCCCCTGACGTCCTCCTCGGCAGCAGGACGTATAATACAAGCATTGATATTTGGTCTGCCGGGTGTATCATGGCGGAATTGTACACTGGCCGTCCACTGTTCCCAGGCACCACCAATGAGGACCAGTTGCAAAAGATCTTCCGTCTCATGGGAACGCCGTCAGAGCGCTCGTGGCCGGGTATCTCTCAGCTGCCCGAATACAAACCCAATTTCCACGTTTATGCGACACAAGACTTAGGCCTCATATTGCCCCAAATCGATCCTCTCGGGCTCGATTTGTTAAACAGGATGCTCCAACTACGACCAGAGATGCGGGTTAGTGCCCACGACGCACTGCAGCACCCGTGGTTCCACGATCTGCCTCAAATGCAGGCTCAACTACAGCAACAGCAACAGCAACAGCAAATGTCCGGATATGGCGGGATGGTTGCTTCCCAGCAGGCGTATTAGTGAAACCGGGGACTTGTCGTTTCGTTTCCGCTTCTTTCCTTTTACTTTTACTTTTTTTTCCTATCTTTTCCCCCTATCATTTTTTGACAGAAATGATGCGACGACGGGTCTGTTTTAGATTGGGGAGGGAGCATGGCGTTATACCTGAGAACAAAATTCGCATTAAATACTTATACTGGTTTTGTTTATCTGGGCTGCACAGTTCGCTGCATGGCCACGCACAGTGATCTACCCCACGATGTTCCGAATAGAGCACCATATTGGTACTTTGTCATTAGTAGGATGTCTATACAACATTACATACGAATCGCGGTAGTTTTTGGCCGACACCCTACAGTTCTTATTGAAATAAAAGACTGGGTCGATGAATGAGGGCCTAGCTACCATTAATCATGCCTTGTTTTCTTTTTTCCCTCTTCTACCTCTTTCTTCGTTCTTTCTTTCCTTTATTATCGCATGGCTCACCGTGACCATAATCGGCTACCTGGCTGATGCTTGGGAGCGTGTTTGCTTTGTTTTCTATGTTCTTTATCTCCCCTCTCAAGGGCAATTGTCTATTGGGCAAAGGCTGGAGTCGGCGAGGATATAATTCGAGACAAGCTTGATACACGTCCCTTTGTTCTTGCAACAACCGTGGGTCATGCCCAACACTCGTTATGCAAATGTTCTTTGTGTCCTGTGGATCACAGGGCTTTCGTGGCGTTCATTTGCCCGTACCTTTTCTTTTTGCACACGGGATCATCCTTTCTCTATAAATATTATTTGCTGCACTAAGGCAGGCATAGCTTATTGCGGACTAGTCAGCTCCATGGTCACTTTCTGCCACTCCAGACATGACGATATACCATTGTAGGAGGAGGCTTATTGAGGGTGGAGATGCATGATCCCTTCGGGATTTTAAGGTCGGACTAACTCTGAGTGATGTCACGCAAGGGACTCTCCTCGACGAGTATACGGTAACGATATCGTGGATATAGATATGTTCAATATACTTATGTTCTTCCTATGTATGTACACTTCTACTTCGGAAAGACAGGGGTAAAGACCGCCAAGCACTGGATGGGCTGCGAATGAACCGGGGGTAATTATTGTTTTATTTCTTTTTATTTATTCCTTTCTTTTCACTTTCGTTGCGAAGGTTGGGTTCATTCTGGAAATGAAAAGTTATTTCCCACCAACCAACGGGATAATCACGCCCTTGCACTAGCCAATGCCCTACAAAGTGCGTGACCAGTCCTCCTCGCCAGAAATCCTATATCATACTCTCGGGGTTTGCTTGAAGTTTCTTTCTGGTTCATTTTAGGTTATTTCTCTATATTATTCAAGGACCGGTGTGATAGGGCGAAAAGTATGAAAGGGAAAGGTCAGGATTTTCCCCCATTACTATACAGATATACTAATCGAACCCTATTTCGGAACAAACTTTACCAGCGTCCAAGACCCAAAGGATCTCCTTCAATTCTGCCTCCTCCACGAATGAGCGCTCGTACAGTACAGACCCATGCGGAGCCGAGACGACGGTTGCGGTTCCATCTGCCCAACTCATGAAGGGTCGAACCCTTGCTGGGACCCTCTGATCCCTTTGTCTGGCTGTGGGCGATTTCTCCACATATGTTCATGTCGTCATGTTTTAAAGAGGACTGTGCCCCATATATGGTACTGTGATGCGAGGTACCTCCGATACACGTCAGATCCTTTACACCCTCTTGGGCATCCTCGCCCGCAGAGCTGGTCTTGTTCTTCCTAATCAATCAATTTACGATATTTGCCATTCGGGTGATAGATGGCAAGGGGCTTTGCTCGTCCCCACGTACACTATAACGGAATTGGCTTCTGTATAGCTACTTGGACTGTGGCTTTCTGCGCGTGATACCCAGATACCAACTTTGTCCTCTATTTCGCTATCGGGTTCAGCATGGTCTTTTCGCAATGTCTCTGTCGGAACAACAACTATATGCCATCTCAGTAACCGAACGGGTTTGCTCGGCCATCTCTCTAACCGGCACCACCATCATTGTCGTCTCCTTCCTTGGTTCAAGTGCTTTCCGCAAGCCCATCAGCCGTCTGGTGTTTTACGCCTCTTGGGGCAATTTGATGACCAATATCGCAACCGTCATTTCTCAATCAGGCATTCACATGGGGCTCGACAGTCCCCTGTGTCAGTTCCAGGCCTTCTTGATCCAATGGTTAGTCCGAAGAAGCTGAGAGACAAAACGACGGTGGTTCACTCAGCAGCTTGCTAATGGCGTGACAGGTTCATGCCCGCCGATGCCCTATGGACTTTTGCCATGGCCTGTAATGTTTACTTGACGTTCTTTTACAAATACAACTCCGATCAACTGCGACGGCTCGAGTGGAAATATCTCATCTTCTGCTACGGACTGCCTCTCATCCCCTCTGTCGCGTACTTCTTCATCAAGACCAAGGCCCGGGGCAAGGTCTACGGCTATGCGGTGGTAAGTGACCGAACCTAGTGAGATAAACAAGTCCTCACATATGGCTGTAGCTCTGGTGTTGGGTTTCGCAAACCTGGGACTGGTTACGGATTGCGGTCTTCTACGGCCCAGTCTGGTTCTTTATTGTTTTGACGTTGGCCATCTATATCCGCACTGGCGGTGTCATCTGGGAAAGACGACGCCAACTGCGGCAGCTTGACAACCTCGACTCGGCAGATTCCTATCCCAGGTATGAAGGCGAGCCGACCGCAGAACATTATGAGGGGCTCGAGATGCGCGATGCCGAACGCCCCCTCGAGCCTACCTACAGTAGGGCAACAACGGAAATCCGCGTAACGAGTGAAATTACACGCCCCCAACAAGGGCATTACCCAACTGCCGAAGAATTGAGCAACCCTGTATCCCCATTCTACAACCCGTACTCTGTCACCATCGAGGGCGGCTTCATGAGCAGACAGTTCAGTGGCATCCCGTTAAAAGCAATGAAACATTCTCATTCGGAGTCATGGTCCCGCCGCCGTGCAATGTCCGACACAAGTACGGCGGCTTGGGCTTATACAAAGTATGCGATGCTCTTCTTCATTGCCTTAATTGTCACCTGGGTTCGTAATTACTGTGGTCAACTCTAGCTGAAATCATGGCTAATGGTTCCAGGTGCCTTCGACGGTTAACCGGGCATATTCACTTGCCTATCCTCACTCATATAACTTTGCTCTGAACTATGTATCGAGCTTTGTTCTGCCGCTCCAAGGATTTTGGAACAGTATGATCTATATGTCCATCTCATGGCCGGCTTTTAAGGCGGTTTACTGGGACATCAGGAGAGGCAGTCTAGTGAGAGATCCTGGATGCAGAGGTGGAGTAGACCATGGAGGACATATCGGACAGACTTATATCTCGAACGACAGCGTTCGACGTCTGACTCACTAGTTCCAATGGTATTTGACTGGGCAACATATAATTATTCGAAGATCATGGAGTAACTAGGGCGCATGGAACCGATAGATATCAGGTAGATGAAGTGACTGTCAAGCAATATGCACGTGTGTATGTAGGGAGCACAAATCCCACCATCGACACCAGCGTTACGACGATAGGGATGGTGATGGAAGAATGTAATGTCAGTTAGCCCCATCCAACAAGAGACTGGCAACCACGCATATATCTTGCCAAGTGAAGAAAGAGAAAGTCTAGAGAAGGTACTCTTGTACAAACGGCCGATAGTTAATCTTGGAGGACCCACTGCGGATCTACGCCCATCATGTGACTGACGCGTTTGGCGTAGACATTGGCCCTATAGCTTTCAAACCATACTTATCAACACAACACGCTCACATACGCCGGCCAAAAGACGTAACAGAAAAGGCGGATAGATTGGAGTAAACGGGACCAAGGAACAAAACAAAGAAAATGGCCGAAGACAGCAGCAACAATCTCAATCCCTCCAGACAAGACGCCTCGCCCTCTCCGCCCCCACCAGCGCCAGTCGCTCTAACACCCGGCCCGCGCGCTACTGTCCTACAGAAGACTTTCAACCAGGCATTGTTGCGTACATTGCGAGCAAATTCCTATGCCAACTTCTCCGGGTGCTTTCCCACCCCTGCGAAACATGTTCCGGCTAGTCTAGAGTCGGTTTGGAGACAGCTGAATGCGAAACTGGAGGAAAGCGCAAGGGCGGAGTTCGAAGATATCATACACGAGAGAGATGCGATAAGGCAGTTGAATGAGTTGGATAGGTTGATGGGGGAGGCGAGGCATAGGAGAGACCGTGGACAGGGACAGGGAGATGTTGCGTATGACTTTCTTTCTTTCTTTCTTTTTTTTTTTTCCACCCCCTTCTCATTTGTCTTGGATGTCTTTTCGGTTTTGGAGAGAACAGGGGCCAGGGGGGCTCTTCTTTTCATCGTTCTTGGGGGTTTATCATGGAGCCAACTTTTCGCTAACATCTCTTTTAGACCCCATACATTGACTCCGGAGGAACTATATCGCGCACGCCTTGCTCCGCATTTGCAGGAGGCTCAAGCAACTTTGAATGCGAACATAGAGTCTATACAAAGCGAAAACGTGGTGTTGTCTCAGCGGATCCAGTCTCAAAGATCGGAGATTGAGGATCTGCTGTCGAGCCTTGAGTCTGTGGCTGCAGACTTGGAGGGCGCTGCGACCGCTGCTACGCAGTTTAGTATGGAGAACGATCTTCGCAAGGAAGCTTTACAGATGGAAGAAGAAGTCAAAACTAGATCGGATATATGATTGGTAGCTAGGTACTTGTTGCCTACGACATGCAGAACGTCACCACGCGCGAAAGAGCTGCCTTCCTGACCTGATAAAAGGGGCAGATTTACGACAGCAGTGCTTCCATAGCCCGGGGGCTTAGCCACCCGTCATCCACCACGTCTTCTGCGACAATCATAAGCTCCTTAAACGCGGTGGATTTGAGCTGTTGCAATTTGTCTTTCTTGCCTTCTAAAGCGGCCGCCAGGGCTTCCTTACATGTTCCATCACGCTCTTCGTCTGCACTCCCATCCCTCCGTGCGAGAGCTGCGGCGCCTCGGTAGTATGTTTGAGCGTTCCGAAGGAGAACAGTGGCATTTTGTTGAGCCATGGTGTATTCCCACGGAGACATGCCGAGTCTCCACCTGTTCATCTCTACGTCTCCTCGTGCAACATGAATTTTGGGCAGGTTATCTGCATCAGGAAGTTTGGCAGCCTTCATTAAAGCATCCAAAGCAGCCGATAGTGATTGCCACCGCAACGATAGTGATTTTGTAAACACCTCATGGTCGTGCGAGGGAGGCAAATCCGTAACGGCTGTGTTGAATGACGTGAGCGCATCTGCTTTGCTGCAGAGGCCTTCGGGATCCGCAGAGAGGTCTAGATCAGGACCAAAGACACGTGCGATTTCTGTTTGATACGTTTCAACTTCGATCCGCCCGCTTCGGTACAGCACCTCGTTCAGAGCGCAGGTAAATTTGGCACGGGCCAAAGATGCCTCGTAATGTCTGCTAGAACCCTCAACGTATGCAGCAATCTTCTCTTGGAGCAAGTCTGCAGAGGATTCTTCAACCCAACCAAGTCCGACTCCGGGATTAAAGGTAAGCAAGTTGCAGAGGGTTGTGAGCGTCTCCAACTGTGCCACCGCTGTGTCGACGAGGGTATCCTTGGTCACTGGCTCAATCACAGCAGCCCATTGCTCTTGTTGCTCAGAAGACTTCGATTCACCTGCATCCTCTGTGCTATTCTGCATGGGTTGCTCTTGCATTTCTCCCTGGCTTGGGCCCACATCTCCAGACTCCATCAATTTAATTTGTTCCTGCATTTCAGTATATCGCATCTCTTGAATAATGAGACAACGTTGGAAGAGCTCTATTGCTTCCTGCAGGTATTTGACTGCCCGGCACAGCTGTGCGTCAGACGGATGTTTGGTATCCGTGACTACCTCGGCAAGGCTTGTGAGCACTTGAGCGGTGTTAAAAAGAGCATCCGCATTGTCTTGATCTAGATTGAGGGCCTCCCTGTGGGACTGTAGCGTTATGTTTAAAATATCTGCTAGTGGAGCAGGCAGTTGTGCAGCCAACTTGGGGTGCTGGGTGATTTCATATTGAACTCTTGCTCTTTTCGACGGTAAGTTTATGTCGCTGATCGCAATGGCATGCCCACTGGTGCATCTAACGGTGAGGATAGAGCTGTCTGCTTACATACTTGTTGTATGCCAAGTCAACCGCATGAGGATACCTTTTCAGGCCGTCATCATAAGTTGCAATGGCGCGCATAAAAAAGCGCATAGATTTTGCTGCATCACCAGCTCGCCATTTTTCTCCAGCCTCTTCCTGTTCGACGCCAACTGCATAAGTTTAGCTATGGCTGCATCGAGGGTGGATTTAACCGTCCCTGTCCGTCTAAAGACATAGTAGGACAGTGGTGCAAGTCTGGGGTTCAGAAAGACTCACCAGCTAAGAACTCATCTGCAGTCTCTGGAGCCTGTCAAAAATGAGCAAGCGCATCGGCAAAAGGGAATGTCGGACTGTCGTGGATACGGTACCTGTTGAGTGGTTTTCCTTTTGTTCTTGGCTTTGGATTCTTTTAGAAGAGATTTTGGCTTCGGCATTTTACACTGAACTATTCTTTATTGATTTACATCAAGTGTCGATCTTGGAAGGGGGTTAACTGACCTTAGAAATCAAGAAAGTCCCATAAATGCTTGTAGTTCTGGTGTGTTTTTATCGTGACGAAGCGTTCGTGGGAAAGAATCGGGTGATCCAAGACCGCTTTCTACACCGCTTCTCGTCATAATCCCAGTGTATGTAATACTATGTATAACTAACTAACTAATTAACCAGCTCAGCTAGAAATCCATGAAGTCATCATGGTAGGGGCGAACATCCCGCTGTTGGTTCTTAACGCCGACTTTTAGTCATGATCTTAAGTTGAAACCAACTAGGTATGTAGTTTGTGTTTCCAATAGTCTGAATAGTATGGGTATCTTATCGAAGTGGATACGTTTCATTGCACGGACATATTGTATTCATCTGTAGTTGTATACACAAAAGTACTATGGCCACTAGTATCTTGCCCTGCACCCCACCTGAAGCTTGAAGGCCAATATGCATGGATGATGGATGCTCAGTTTCCAGCTTCCACAGTAGTCGTAGTAGTACCTAGTCGAGCCAACGCGGGTGCAACAGAGGATCAACCCGCGTGGCTGCCTCTGCACGTGGCAGTCTAATCAAATATATTTTGTACTGTAGCTGTGGAAAGAATGCAAGCCTTTTGCTTCAGATGCTATGTATGTAAATCAAAGAACACCAGGAAAATTCTCGACTAAAATCCATCCCTTTAGGGTAGTAAATAGAGGGTGGTATTTCCCTTTGTCTTCTTTACTCACTCACACAGGAAAAAATCCCTCTGACTGAGCTGAAGTTCCCCCCTCAATACCCGAAATGGGTGATCAGCACTTTCAAGATTTTCATTGCTGTAACAAATGATTTATATCTACGTAGTTTAACGGAGTATTTAAGATACGAACGAATTTTTTATGTATTCAATTGTCATCCCTACACATCATGGCTAGGTCAATAGATCATTGATTTTGGATTGATCGAAGCAGATTTGAACTCTGGATCTTGCTTTGTTGTTAAATACTATTAGAGAAAATGAAAATAAAAGAAAGAACAAGAATGAGAAAGGGAAAGGGAAACAAAAGCTGGTCAACGGCCAACGATTCCCGCGTGGCCGAGTTTAATCCTCTTGAGACGTAAGACCCACATTGTCATCCGTTGCCCTTCGGCTCTCCTGAATCCTCTGCTGCATGTTACTTGGTCTACAAGCCCTCCCTCTAATCCTCTCCCAGACCTTTTTCCTTTTCCTTTTCCTTTACTTTACTTTTGCCTTCTCTTTTAGTTTCTAGGTCGCCCCACGATATACTCGATCAGGGGTCGGAGTCTGACTCTGTACTTTCAGGTATGTTTTATCTGACGGTCAGCTTAGCCGCTTGCCCCATACTATCTCTGCAGTCTAATTTATTCCCGCTTACTATCATCTACCCCTTATCCATTTCAGTAATATCTTCTTCTACTTATCGTGTTCGCGTTAATCCGAGATAAAATTCTCTGCAATGTACTAACCTCGGCAGGCTACTTCCTGAGTAGTTTAGCACTCGTCTGCCTGCGCTCGATTCTCAAGCACAACCACTCATTGCTTTCGGCAGTCGGCCTACAAGGACTTGATCACAGTACCAATATTATCATGGCTAGGCATCAATCGCTTGACTCTGAGAGACCGATCATGGCCCCTTCTGTAGGTTCACCGGTTATTATTCATCTGCGACGGACCAGATTCTCTGACCATGGATCTAGACCCGAGCGTCGAAAAGATTTTCGACCGTAAGCGGAAACCCTTCGATTGCTTCGTCAGGCACCATTGGAAGCCTACCAAGTGGCGATCCTCGTTTGGCCGAATTCCATCACTTGCGCGACGGGTTGGAGCGCCTAGAGAACAAACCTCTTCAGAAGCAACGCTTCGTCCCTACTCCCGAAAAGAGCGATAACTTGAGCAAGCTGGCTCTGAGTGCGAAGGTGGAACGAGCTCTTGACCGGAGAATGACTGGTCAGGATGCTGTCATGCGCAAGCCAGTTTTGAACGAGAAGGCTGCTGCTGAGTCTACAAGCTCGTAGACGAACTGTGGTCTACCCGATAAGTTTCATATACACACTTTGTCTTGATACCTATTTTTGGTCCTTAATAATTTTTTTGAGCACCTGTTTCTCTGTTCTCCTTTTGCTTGCCCATGTTGCATGCTCCGCGGCTTTCTTTGGTGAACCACGTGAATGAGTTTCTGTATCTGCTATACGTCTTCGTTGATGAGAAGCCTGACCTCTCATATCCCTCATACCCCTCTTCCAAGCCAGCTATTTGTTCCCGATATTATGGTTTTCTTTACATTCAATGCGACCTTCTGATTGAATCTTCGTCTCCGATGAGTGTAACTACTTACTCAGAAATGACAATAGACCTTAATGTGATTGGTATACGAATATAGTTCCTCATTGATGATAGTGATCCTTTGGACAGAAGCATTTTCAACATGTCTCAGTGGACTGGTTGCAAGTTCCGATCTGGCCCCTTGGATCCCCCTACAGTCAGATGTAGGAGCTGGAATTCTATTTGCATTGGCTGCTATACTACCGGATGATTCACCCAGTATGCAGTGATGTAAACGGAATGTCCGATGGAGATCCACCGGCGAGTTAGGCAGGCGGTAAGGGAAGGAAATGGGGCGCTAAGAGGCGCCGCACTGCAACCGACCTTTCAAGTCCAGGTCAACTCATTTTGCAAACTGCTAAGCATCCCGTCGCTTTCCCTCTCTTTTCCTCTTTCCTATCCAGCTGCTAGCTACCCACCTAACACCTTCTTATCCCATTCTACTCTCGACTATTCACCATTCATCGGATTTTTCCTGTTGATTACCCTCTCCCCATCGATTCTCAACGTGTTCAGTTCCTTTCGACTATCTTCCCTCTTTCCGCCTTGTTCGCAAATTTGACCTGATTGGAAATCGCACAAGAATCTTCCTCTATTTCCTTCTTGCACCACTACGACGCAAACGCTTGTAACGCAGACGTTCTCCTTTACTTTCATTTTATTGCATCTATAAGGGTCTATTGGTTTTCTTTCTAGCATTGTGAGAATTGCCCTTCCCCGCTCTTTTTTCCCAACGATACACTTGGCCTTCAATTACTGACAGGCATGGGGGTTAGTAAAAGCGAACGAGGAAAAGTCACTAGATTTCTTAGCCTCTACTCATTATCACATAGAGGTTCACTGCTCATATACCTCTACTTTCTACCTTACGACACCCTAGACCATTTCTGCTTCCATTTCCCATACCGACCTTAAAACACCTTCGATAACACAATGGCCGATACTCAAGCCCCTGTTAACGGCAATTACCCTGTACCCCACGCCTATCATGACTCTTACAACCATGCCCACGCTGTTGCCAACAATGCCTCGAATTTCCAGCCAGCGCAATCTACCACTCCCACTAATGTCCCGCCTAGTGAGCAGAAGAATGCGATCTCTAAGGACGAGGTCGGTTGGTATTTTGTTGAGCAATATTATACCAATATGAGCCGTAGTCCAGACAAGTTGCACCTTTTCTACTCTCGGCGTTCGCAGCTTGTCTTTGGAACTGAAGCGGAGTCGGTTCCTGTTGCTGTGGGCCAGAAGGTGAGTTCACTTCCTTCACTCCTAGGTGTTTTCTTCCATTGAGCTTTATTGACTTTACCCCCTCAATTTAGGCTATCAATGAGAAAATCAAACAGCTTGACTTCCAAGATTGCAAAGTCCGTGTTTTGAACGTCGATTCTCAGGCTTCATTTGACAACATCTTAATCTCCGTCATCGGTGAGATCTCCAATAAGTCCGAGCCGTCTCGCAAGTTTATCCAGACCTTCGTTCTTGCTGAGCAACCCAATGGATACTATGTTCTCAATGATATCTTCAGATACTTGGTTGATGAGGAGGATATTGTGAATGAGGAGCCCGCTCCCGCTGCGCCTGCCGAGCCTGTCGAGCCTGTCGAGCCTGCCACAGAGCCGGCTGCGGATGAACCCGCACAGCTTGAGACCGAGAGTGCCCCGACTGCGGAGCCCCAGGATGCCAACGAAGTCACAGCTGCCAAGGTGGACGAGAAGCTTGAACAGGTGGAAGAAAAGGCCGAGGAAAAGCAACCGGAGGAACCTGCACCTCAGGCTAACGGAACCGAGGCACAGAGCAACGAGGATGTTCAGGAACCTCCCGCCTTGGCTGAATCTGAAGCTTCTAAGACGGAAAAGCCTGCGACTCCGGAGCCTACGCCTGCCCCGACTACCCAGAAAGAAATTGCTGCTCCGGCCAAAGAGCCTGTTGTACCCGCCAGAGCCGTACCAAAGACCTGGGCCAACATTGCCTCTAAGTCCGGTGCTACTGCCCCTGTTGTGCCTGCCATCCCCGTTGCTCCTGTTAAGCCGGCGCCTGTTACCAGCTCCGCCCAGTCTGTTCCTACCCCCCCTGCTGCGGCTGCCACACCTACTCCTGCTGCTGAGAGCACTCCTAGCCAGCCTCCCTCCAACGATGGATCTGGCTGGCAAACTGCTGGTCACGACCATAAGAAGACCCAGCCTCGTGCGGGTGATGACCAGAATGTTATGGCTTATATCAAGAACGTCACCGATAAGGTCGATGCAAACTTGCTCAAGCAGACTTTGTCCCGCTTTGGAAAGCTCAAGCATTTCGATGTGAGCCGCCAGAAGGTAGGTCCCGCCGTGAAGTCTCAATTATTTGGAAAGAAGGAAGCTAATTGCCATCAGAACTGTGCTTTTGTTGAGTTCGCTGACCCTGCCGGCTACACCGCTGCTGTTGCTGCCAACCCGCACCAGATTGGAAGCGAGCAGATCTCCGTAGAGGAACGCCGTTCTCGTACTAGCGCCTATGGGGGAAATACCAACTATGGCGCTGGTCGGGGTGGCTCCGGCCGTGGTCGCGGCGACCGTGCCGGCAGCCAGGGCCGGGGTGGCTTCCAGCGTGATGGTCGTGGTGGCTTCGCTCCCCGTGGCCGTGGCGGCAGTGGCAACGTTAATGCTAAAGCCCGCAACCAGGCACAGACTGCTTAGAGCAGATCACTACTTCGTCTTTCTCTCAAACGGAGAGGCGGGAAAAATAAGAACAAAAATAAACAAAAATAAAAGAAAACTACCGGAATCAGGGTGAAGATTATTCATTGCACGCTGTCTTTTTCTTCTTGTGGCCCCATTTCCTCTTCTTTTTTTTCTCCTTTCCCCCCTCTCCTGCTGGTCATTCAACTCTTAGTCCTTCATCCTGGCCCGCAACAGCATACAGGTTCAGATGCTTATGGTGACCCAGGACATGTATTACTCCCTCTTATTGATAATGACATGTGTTATGTGACCCATTCATCTGTCACACTGCATATTAGCGGTTGGAAAAGTTGTTCTTTCATATCTCATCAACAGGGCTTTCTTTTCCTTATTGGTCTGTGCTTTCATGACGTTTTGTTTCTGTGAATGTGTTGTCATGACCTATTCAACCATTTCTTGCTTCTAGCATAGCGAGCTAAATGCCCGTATTGTTCTCTTAGGGTCTTATTTCTATTTTGTTTACAGTTGTTCCAATCTAACTTCTTTTCCTTATCTCTGCTTCATCTCATTTAGCAACTGTAAACTGGGTGGTGGCCACTGTCTTGTCTTGTACCATGCTACACTTGTTTGACACACGTCCTATTCATGGGGAGCTCCACGGTGTGGGTGGCGAATGACTGTTTCCCTTTACAGGCACAGTGGCTCTTATTGAGTCACCTTATCCAATCCACCAGGCCAGGAGGGAAGGAACGGGTGCCTGCTTGTTCCTGTGTAGTTGCACATGTATTACGAAGAATTGTCCGGAATTAAGTATCTGAAACTGAATTTTGCAAACTGTCCCGTCTCAGCTCAGCTCAGCTTCCCTGTGTTCCGATAGATATGGATTGTTTTCCACATAAGAAGTGGCATCGATATGAGGTCAGTGAAACTGGTCGGAGGAGGGCCCTGGTTGGATTGATTCCTGTGATCTTGATTACAATGTTTGTTTGCCAGGTCCCAGCTTAAGGGAAGGCTGGAGATAAAGTGGGCCGGAAGATTACAGTAGACAAGGTATGTACACTGTACATTGTACCTGATGCTGGGTACTTGGGAAATCGATAGCTCCTAGAAAGTTCCATTATGGCGGAGTGCTGGGGACGGGTATTAAGTAGGATTGTATGTACTGTACCTGAAGGTACGGTACGTATACTCGTATACGAAAAATCCCCATTCCGCCGACGATCGATGGTGGAGCGGAACGTTCTAGATTGGTAGCCTGAGGCACCAAGAAAGTGAAGTAGATCGGGACTCAGCTTTCGGAGGGGGAGGGGCAACAGAACAAAAGGGGAAGGGAATGATCGGTAAAAGATGAATGGAGGGGGAAAATGAATAAAAAGATTGGACATGTTTAACAGGATGCCAAATAGAACCCAATTGAATGAACTAGAATTTTTTGGTTTTTTTTTTTTCCTTCTTTTTGGTAGAGAACCATGGATTCAACCCAGGCTGTGATGTGTATCGAGTAGAAGAGACTGGAAGATCCCCGTCGAGACAAGGCGGAGAGAGCGTGGAAGTTGCTGGATCGCCGTAGAAACGCCCACGCCGAAATTTTGTGTCCCTCAGCCAAACATTAAGTTCTCCGCCCCGTCGCTTGCGGTAGCTTTTCTTCTTCTTCATTCATTCCCACACTTTTTCTCCTCGCTTCTTCTCATCTCCATCCATCCTATACTAAGACTGCTTTACCTTCTGGAGCAGATTCTTTCTATCCTTGTTTTTCCTGAATCTCAACTCTCCCACCGTCCCTTTTCTTTTCATTCTCTCTCTTGTTCTTAACGATCTTACGTTGTTGTTGTACCTTGTGAGTCTTGTTCCCACCCCCACCCGAGTGAGGAGAGTAGCTGCCAAAGCTGAGAATCATTCTGGGCTCTTCGGTCTTGCCCCCAAGATTCACATAAACCTCCCTGAATAAGTGGAGGGCCTGTATCCTACTTTTCTCAATATACCGATGACTAACAGAACATTCGGCGTCGAACAGAATAAAATCACATCCCTTCATCATGTCCGAGACTTTCGAGTTCCAGGCTGAGATCTCTCAGCTCCTCTCTCTTATCATCAACACTGTTTACTCCAACAAGGAGATTTTCCTGCGTGAACTTATCTCCAACGCCTCCGATGCCCTTGACAAGATCCGCTATGAGTCTTTGTCGGACCCCTCCAAGCTCGACTCGGGCAAGGACCTCCGTATCGACATCATCCCCAACAAGGAGGCTAAGACCTTGACTATCCGTGATACCGGTATCGGTATGACCAAGGCCGTAAGTCAATTCCGTCTATTATCTGCCTCTACGGACCCCACTCTAACCATATCGCTTTTGTCTAGGACCTGATCAACAACCTTGGTACCATCGCTCGCTCTGGTACCAAGCAGTTCATGGAGGCCCTCTCTGCTGGTGCTGACATCTCCATGATTGGCCAGTTCGGTGTTGGTTTCTACTCTGCTTATCTTGTTGCTGACCGCGTCACTGTCATCTCCAAGCACAACGACGATGAGCAGTACGTCTGGGAGTCCGCTGCCGGCGGCACCTTCACCCTCACCCAGGACACCGAGGGCGAGCCCCTTGGTCGTGGTACCAAGATGATCCTTCACTTGAAGGATGAGCAGACTGACTACCTCAACGAGAGCCGCATCAAGGAGGTTGTTCGCAAGCACTCCGAGTTCATCTCTTACCCTATCTACCTCCACGTTCTGAAGGAAACCGAGAAGGAGGTTCCTGACGAGGAGGAGGAGACCAAGGAAGAGGAGGGCGATGAGAAGAAGCCCAAGATTGAGGAGGTTGATGAAGAAGAGGAGAAGAAGGAGAAGAAGACCAAGACCGTCAAGGAGAGCAAGATTGAGGAGGAGGAGCTGAACAAGACCAAACCCATCTGGACCCGTAACCCTGCTGATATCACCCAGGAGGAGTACGCTGCCTTCTACAAGTCCCTCTCCAATGACTGGGAGGACCACCTTGCTGTCAAGCACTTCTCCGTTGAGGGCCAGCTTGAGTTCCGTGCCATCCTCTATATTCCCAAGCGTGCTCCCTTTGACCTCTTCGAGACCAAGAAGACCAAGAACAACATCAAGCTCTATGTTCGCCGTGTCTTCATCACCGACGATGCCACCGATCTTATCCCTGAGTGGCTCAGCTTCATCAAGGGTGTTGTTGATTCTGAGGACCTTCCTCTCAACCTGTCCCGTGAGACCCTGCAGCAGAACAAGATCATGAAGGTCATCAAGAAGAACATTGTCAAGAAGACCCTTGAGCTCTTCACTGAAATTGCCGAAGATCGTGAGCAGTTTGACAAGTTCTACTCCGCCTTCAGCAAGAACATTAAGCTTGGTGTCCACGAGGATGCTCAGAACCGCCAGACCCTCGCTAAGCTGCTCCGTTACCAGTCTACGAAGTCCGGTGATGAGGTCACTTCCCTCTCCGACTATGTCACTCGCATGCCTGAGCACCAGAAGCAGATCTACTACATCACTGGCGAGTCTATCAAGGCTGTCGCCAAGTCTCCTTTCCTTGACAGCCTCAAGCAGAAGAACTTTGAGGTTCTCTTCCTGGTTGACCCCATTGATGAGTACGCTTTCACTCAGCTTAAGGAGTTTGATGGCAAGAAGCTCGTCGACATCACCAAGGACTTCGAGCTCGAGGAGTCCGAGGAGGAGAAGGCTGAGCGTGAGAAGGAGGAGAAGGAGTTCGAGGGTCTCGCCAAGAGCCTCAAGAACATCCTCGGCGACAAGGTTGAGAAGGTTGTTGTCTCTCACAAGCTTGTTGGCTCTCCTTGCGCCATTCGTACTGGCCAGTTCGGTTGGTCTGCCAACATGGAGCGTATCATGAAGGCCCAGGCCCTCCGTGACACCTCCATGAGCTCCTACATGTCTTCTAAGAAGACCTTCGAGATCTCTCCCAAGTCTGCTATCATCAAGGAGCTCAAGAAGAAGGTCGAGGCTGATGGTGAGAGCGACCGTACCGTCAAGTCCATTACTCAGCTTCTGTTCGAGACTTCTCTCCTGGTTTCCGGCTTCACCATCGACGAGCCTGCCAGCTTTGCCGAGCGCATCCACAAGCTTGTCTCTCTCGGTCTGAACGTCGACGAGGAGGCCGAGACCTCTGAGGAGAAGGCCGCCGAAGAGGCCCCTGCCGCTGCCACCGGCGAGAGCTCCATGGAGGAGGTTGACTAAATGTTTCGGCAGCAACGGAAACGAGATTTTAACTGCTTTTACGACCTATTATTGAAAACTGTTCCAGCGGTATCTGCATCAGGATTATCTTACATCACTGACTCGTATTGCTGTTTCATCTGGGACTTGAGAAAGGCGGTTTCTAGTTGCGATGTGAATTTTACTCTTTCGGCGTTTTGAGCGTTTGCTTTCCAAATCATACTACTTTAAATTATTCCGTCTGATCCATGACTTGTGCTTTGCCTCGCTTCTCCGGGTTCGGATATCGAGTGATCTTAGATAGGTAGAACTTTTTCTCTTTCGAATAAAAGCCAAGCCTTCAACTGTTACTAGGTCCCCTATAAATTCTTCTGTATACTCGAATAAACAAAACCCTAATGACCGATCTTGAACCCAGCCACCCTTTATCTTCCCTACCTGCGGGTAGTGAGACCAGAGAAATAGGGCGCCTTTTATATAGCCTAACAAGCGGCATGGAATCTGGCTACCGATACGTATAGCCCGCATGAGCTGGTATTGCTACAGCAGAGAGATGGGCCGTAGACATTAGCAATTAACAACAGATCAATAAACTCAACAGGCAAAACCCCTTACTCCATCAGTGCATAAAATTGGGCCATGCATTGCTTCATGTTTAATTTCATTAAGCGTGATTCGGCCTTGAAGAAACAGTCCTAGAGCAACGAAGGACATGGGAACTGAGAGGCAATGCCAGTAAGGAAGTAGCTATGCAGGGACGCTATATGGTGGCCGCTGCCTCGCAGAGGAGGATGGATCCAGTCTGGCACACTCTTTCCTTTTGCTGCTCAATCCTAGACAATATAAAGCTAGCAGCTAAATGTCCTAGGGCGTAGGCGCTGTAGCTGGCGTGTTCCTTAATGGCCAGTGCAATACCAATCAAATCGCCAATCAGAGAAACTTCGTGAGGATAATCCCCAAGCCTTCGCAAGCCACAGCGCAAGTCCTCCAACGACCCCGAAACTACCCACAATTTGGATAATGGTCCAACCCCGTCGCTTGAGATCCTCAGACCACCAAACTAGACCCAGGGGATCATGAGGGCTTATACGTGCAATGCGGCATTCTACCATCTTTCCGTTTTGTGTCCGAACTAGAAGACCACCGCCTGCTTTTTCCACAGGTACACGGAGACCACAGAAGCCAGGAGTCTGTGAGATAGGTACCAACGAACCATCTATAACACACTCGCCCAGTCGCTCCGTGAGCCAGACAGCACGATCCCCCCTTGCTATGGTAGCGTATCGTTCTCGTTCATTACGTAGGCTTTGCTGAAGGTCAGATGCCCACTTTGCCAGCTGTACCCGGGCTAACCTCTCTTCGTGACGAGTATAGTCGGATATTCGAGCCATGGTATAACTAGAGGGGCCGCCTCGTAAAGTGTGAACATCGGGAAGGGCGCCATTTGGTAGATTATCCTGCTGCCAGTAGAACTGCTCTTGTTGCCGTAGGGCAAGCTTCTTGGCAGATAAATGTCGCATCCAGGCTATGTTTTCTCGGTCAAATAACATCTGGACTAGGAGCATTAATTCGGACGCCATCAAAGGCTGGGCGTAGTCCGGGCTCATCAAGGTGCTGGCGTCCATAACGTCATCATCGTCGGACTTAGCGGACGAAACTGCAAAAGGACACTGAGCACTGAGCCCGTCGACTTTGCCGAGGGATGCATCCCCGAAAAGGAAAAGTTTGATGTTGGCCTCTTGGGCTTGCTTATGAAATGTGGATTTGAGGGCCGAGACTCGACTGGATGACAAGAGATCTGATTTAGATACGACGGGTATGACGTTTGTCCAATCGCATAGCTTCCGGATAGATTCAATATCTGTAGAAAGGGTATCTGAAAAGACGTGAGCCCGGCAAATCAGAATAGAGCAAAAGGGGAGATTCATCACGTACCCTCGGAGATGAGGTATAAGACAGCGTCAACCTGGGCACCACCATTACCCGCGAGCATATTCTGGAAATCATGATTGGCCGAGTTTAGGGACGTCATCGCTCGGAGAAGCTGTTGACGAATATATTGTACAATGATGTCAGTTTGCCCTGCACATTCCGACGAGTTGGACTGAGGATCAACAAAACAGAGATTGCGCTCAAGGACTACATCACCCATGCTCCGACGTCGTCGCAAAACACGTGAATCTTCTAGGTCTGACCACCATACGGGATATGGTTTAGTGCTAGCGTAAATTTCCGTGACAGATGGTGGAATACTGTGTGTCTGAGAGGGTCGGGTTGAAGAGCCAGGTGAGCGGGACGATGTCGAGGGGGAAAGGGAGGGAAAGGGGTCGACGTGAACGATATCTTCGCACGCTTGAACAATAGATTTGATGAGAGAGGTTTTCCCAGTGCCTAGGTACAAGTTTAATTCAGCAAATACTCCAATGATCAATTCTTAACCTAATCCGTACTTACCAGAAGCACCTGCTATTAGCACCTTCAGACGGCCCAATGACTTCCCTCGATCTGTAAAAGGCCTTCGACTGGGCATCCTGATACTTGGCATAACCAACTGAGATGCGCTATCAAGGCATACATTGCACGGCGTGGGGAAATCATTGTCTTCTTCTCCTGACGCGACAACCTCACTGCTTGCATCATCGGTGATCGAGATGTCATCAAGATGCCTCAGGGACTGATTGGAGAATGACTTGGGACTGCTGGGAAGAGAAAAGGATGGATCATCTGGGTTGCTGAGGTTCGAGGGCGTCAATGGTCGGGGGGAAGTGCGGTCGGAAGATGGTAAGGAAATTTCGAATCTGCTAGCATTGAGTAAATCGCTTGGTTTGAGGGTTGACTTGCGGCGAGGCAGTGAGGTAGCACCGTTAAGACCATTATCTAGATGATCGTGGGGAGGCGGTTGTAGTTGTTGTTGTCCGATCGGAGTCGTGGAATCATGGTTTCCACCCGAAAGATAGGGCTCGCACTCGGAACCAGAGAGATTGACATCGTGAACGGCTTCTTCGAGGCTTTGTACACCATACATACTATCCCTCGAAGGAACCGACTCATCAGGAGAGAGCTCCTCGTCCGCATCGTGATCACGACTGCGGGCCAGGAAGAAGGTCGCGGGGGCAGTATTGCGGGGGTCGATCCACTGCTGTTCGATGGAGGCCTTGCGGGCCCTACGCAACGCGACATCCGGGACCGGCGGTCTCATGATAGGCAACGGGTAAGGAGAACTTATACAAGGTCCCCAGAATGTACATGGAGAAGAAAAGCAGAAACATGAAAAAGACGATAGTTTTGGCTTAGGTGATGCGCGGTGATATGATGTTGTTTGTTGAATTGCAATGTCCCATGTTATGTCATGTCACGTTGTTCAAGTCACGACCCCTCCAGCAACCCGAACCCCGCATTGCTAATACATGTACCTAGACATGGTCAGATCAATAGCTCTATATACACACACTATTACTACTACTCTTCCGGCCACAGTAGGTGTAGGATGAGAACTATCATGAAGCAATAGACATGATGGGGGAGAGCGGTTTGTCCATATTTATCAAGAGTCATTCACAAAAGAGTACAGAGTAAGTCGTGGACGGGAGTTCTTAGGGCAAAATCGAAGACAGCCGGTATAGTGGCAATGCTTCTAGGGCCTTTATTAGTCGAGATAATATTTATATTTTATCCTTCAGTGGAATATTACTTTGTCCTTCGAACATTCTACAGGCTCACAAAGCTATTAGGCTAGTGATAGTGGTTGGACTAAACCATTAGTTGCATAGTCACTTGAAGCAAACCACATTCAATCACCTTTTATGGTTTACCCTGCAATTCTAGAACTACGACGCTAGCGTGCATCCACACACGAAGCTAGCTCACAAGCGACAGAACATCGGTGTCGGGGGAGTCTCCTCCGTTTCATAAAACTCGTAAATTAGAGAAGAAAAGGAAAAATTGAAGAACAGCCATAATATCTATTGATTGATTGGATTTTGAATCTGTCGGGGTTTCTTTCATTTTCTTTGGACTTCTTTCATTCTCCGGTTCGGAGAAGTGGCTGCCATGGTATATACATTGACTAGTAATATTGGAGGATGCGACTAACTACTAGTACTAGTAGTATCATACAATGGGATGCTGCTGACTACGACAGTTTCATCATTCCACAGGGTTTAACCATAATAATCCCAGTAAAAAAAATTTTAAATGCAAATAAGAAGGATAAATAATAAACTGTAAGCGCAACTGCCGCCCCCCTTAAAAGTGCGAGTAGCAGAAGCGAAATCTTTCCTCTGAACACGAGTATAATAAATGCCACTTGGATTATACGGTCCGATAGGCAGTCATGAACCATGATACGTACGTCTTTCCAAATCATATAATAGGATTATGATATGGAAGTGTCTTTCATTTCGAACCTGAGATCCACCCCCAAATTCAATACGGAGCGTACTTCCTCTCTCTCCAGACTAAGTTTGCCACTAGGTAACTGAAAACCTTTCTGGTTGGTGCTTTCGCCTGAGGGCTCAAGAGTAGTTAGTCTCTTTTCCAACGGACCCATCGACATCCATGGTTGGCCCGGGAAACAGTTTTGATGAAGTCCTGTTTGTCCCCCCGAATTTGTACCTTTTGAGGATGGATACCACACATGGAAGGTCAAGACGTATACTCATTTTGCTACAAACGTGAATAGGAGATATATTAAGGGTGTACATATTATATGAATAAATTTCTTTCTCTTAAAAAGAATCCTTATCGATAACGACTACATAAGTACGTCCCAGGTGTAAAAACCGAACCTTTTAGTAGCTTCTTCCTTCCGACTACTTCTCTTCCCGTCCAATCATGTTTAATTACCTTCCCATATTTCGACCTTCTTTAATTGGTTTAGTTCCTCGGGAAGCGGTATTTAGTACAAAGTACCGTTCTGTACTCCGTACAATCGTACCTTTCTTCTTTCTCCTTATTTTCAAGCTCATATATACTTCTATCGCCTAGGATTTTCGCACACACATATAGAAAGAGAGAAAGATGTGAACAAGAAAGGATTACTTAATATTCATACATACCGATAGAGACAGCAGTGATTTTATAAGGGATTTTATACGATACTAAGTAGGTAATGAGTAAGTATTGCATATATATGTACAGAGTAGATATATACCTACTCTACTAATAGAAACTAGTACTGTACAGAGCTACTTCATACAGAAGTACCTTGTATTTTTTTTTTTTTTTTTTTTTTTTTTTTTTTTTTTTTTTTTTTTTCCCTCTCTCTCCCCCTCCACTTATCGAACTAAAACCAACCCGCCCCGGTTATCGACATTAATTAAGCAACCTTCCGTATCTCCGCCTGCTGGCACAGAACCACCGAGGACTGTCTGATCCTCACTCACTCGCTCACTCACTCACTAGGTACCGAACAACCTAATAAACCTGACTAACATATGTTGTCGCTTGCCCGATCGGTCTATTCAGCTCGTGTTCAATTCTACTCTCGCTTGCTCTTCATTGTCTTGTCTCCACCAGATCTATATCCTGCTCTCATTGATTTTATCTTCTGCCGTTAGTCAACGTTCGGGATTCTATTCATCTTGTCTTCCTACGGTCGCCATGTCTGCCAGCCTATCTTACTGAGCTGACGCTCCATCGCTCACTTCCTTTTATCTCCACTGGTCAATTTCCTTTGCTTCAATCTCCGAAGTTCCAACCTTGCTCTGTCAGACCCAGTTTGCCAAATACCCCCAGAATTACTCCCGAGTTACTGTCCTTAATCGAGAGTCTTAGTTTTTCGTTCTGCAACACTGCGTTCCAGACTTCCTTCAGAGAAGTGGGGTTTACTGATCTCTAACGCAAATACAAACAAGGGGGAGGGATATTAAAAAAAGAAAAGAAGAAAACCCTCCCGTTCCACCATGGAGCAAGACAACTCGCTTTCCTGGCCGGATATCACCGCCCCCGGCGACGATGAATTCTCCAACTTCCTCGAGTTTGGAATGCATTTCCCCGACATGGAGGGGCACGGGCCATCCGACCAGCACCCTCCTCGTTCCGTCGCTCATTCGGTATCGATGCCTACCTCAACCACTCCTTCGGGCCAGGAACAGCTTATGCGCATGGAAACCGATGCGGTAGCCCCTCAATCGTCGTCGTATGACCGCATGATGGGCGATTTTTCCATTGAGCTCTCCAACCAAGTTCACCAAAGCCAGTCGCACGGCTCTATCCCAGCGTCCTTCTCCGATGCCCCGTTGACTCCGGCCTTCTATGCTCAGAAACCCCCGCATTCCCAGATATTTAATCACCAGCAACTGCAACAGCCCCCGGAGCAGTCGCACCATCAGCATGTTCACCATTCGCAGCCAACATCCCAGCCTTACGTGCCTCACGGTCAGCCTGTGATTCCTCCGACCCCTAACAGTATTGAAATGCAGGGAAGTGCGGCCACATACCCACAACGCGTGGATGAGAATCATGAAATGTACGACCGGTACGCTCGCATAAATGAGGAACAAGTAAGCGAAACAGTCAACTTGCCACAAACTCTACATCAATATGCGCGTGGCTAATACACTACCCCTCCCTTACAGGCTCTCTACACCCCCTTGGTGTCTCCTGCGATGACCCCACTGGAGACCCAATTCCGGCTGCCAGAGTATACAATTCCTGGAGAGTACTTTACCCCTCTAACCTCCCCCGCCCTCGAGGCCCAAAATGCGAATTCAACCAGCTATCCATTTCATTCTGGCCATGTCTCGGATATGGGCTTTGTGAATTCCCCCATTGACAATTCCATTCCTGTTTCATCGTCCCCAAATTCGCCTGGCTTGATTCGGAAACACCGACGCCGACCATCAAACACCAAGACATTTTCTGCTAGGGCTAAGAAGCAACAATCCCCTTCGGTGCGGCCTCAGACACGGAAGAAGTCACTCCTACAAATTAACTCGGATGAGATATTGAACGGCCTCAGCCAACATCAAGGTGGCCCAAGGTCACAACCCTCCACTGGTAGCGGGCTGCGGTATGGCAGCAATGAGAGCTCCGGCCAAGATTCCGTTTCCCCTGAACCCCTGTCAGAACCTCTGATGCCGCCTCCTGCTCTACCCCCTGCTCGGAGATCTCCCGCGATTGCTCCTCAGATGGTGCAATCGCAAACAAACGAGCCTGCGACCCCAGCTATGTTGATGCGCATTCAGCGGCCGCAGCATAGTCCAGCCGCAACTGGGCAAGCGTCAGGCCCTGTGTCGTCCGAGCCACACGATGATATCATGGAAGAGGTTATTCTTCCAGAGGCAGCTACTCCTACTACCCATTTCTCCCAATCACAAGTGACCCGCATCGACACCTCCCTGCGAAATGTCCGTACGGATGCAGCGTCCCCAGCCACGTCAGCCGGTCTTACTCCAGCTCTAGAACCCAAATCGACTCCCTTGGCTGAGCGTAACCCAAGTTCAGTAGCTCCTAGTCCGCGCACTGTCGCTATGCCTTCTCCAAGCGGGCCAATAGGCAAGAAATCAGACACGCCCAAACTCGGGCCGTTGGGTAGAAAGCGACAGAGTCTTAGCTCATCTCAACCAAGTCCAAATCTACGCCCTAAAATAAGCCCTAGCATACAACCATTGGTCCGAGGAGAATGTAAGCGAAATTCAAGATCATTAATCAGCCGAGTTTTTTAAACTGACTTCATCTCGTTCAGCAGGCATATCAAGTGAGACCTCGGCCTTATATCTAGCCTCCAAATCGAACTACCAGCATATCTTGGATGGAACCCTCCTTCCTGGCGTATCTTATCCTGAAGCGTTGGCCGAAAATTTGAGCTCCAAGCGGACAAACCATAAGCTTGCGGAGCAAGGCCGACGTAACCGCATTAACAATGCGCTTAAGGAAATTGAAGCTCTGATTCCAGCTGGGTTTGTCAACATGAAGAATGTGAAAGATGCCACGCCTTGCAGTCTGAAAGGCAGTGAAAAGGAGAAAGAGAAGCCCAGCAATCAGCAGATTAGCAAGGCCAGCACCGTTGAGATGGCCATTGATTATATTAAAGCATTGAAGAAGGAACTCGAGGAAACAAAGGGCAAGCTAGAAGCTGCTGAGGCCCGACTAGGCGAGAAAGAAACTTCTCAAACCCACGACGTCGACTCAGTTGGCCCCGAGAATGAGCAACTGGAGAAGCCTGGCGAGGTTGTAGGTGTACCTACAAGTCCTGTA